ATAGTGTTTTCCATAGGAGTTAGAAACCATAGTTCTGAACTGTGCCTAGGTAGTTTAAGCTATAAATAGCATTCATAATCTGTATTCAGTCCTTTTAGCATAACATGGATACTATCAGGTTCCTTTCTTATGTTCTGTAAATATATCTTTGTTCAGAAGCCACTTTGAAAATACAGCATACTGACATTTTTAAATATGATTACAGTGTCTTTGTTTTTACGATGAGACTTAGTTCCATTTCTGAATTTGTCTGTCTCCTTGATTGTATTTTTAAGCCATTTGCTAGCACATGCTCATTACTGACCTTCATGCCACAAATCTACTTAGTATAATCATGTGACCTTGATAAATAGTAAACTTCTTAAAAGTTTGGTGTTCACTTAATTAGGTAATTAAAGACATTATTGTCAGTTTAAGTAGTCAAAGAATATATTTGAGATCACTGTGATAGATGTGTTTTACAAGAAGGAGTAAATTATTTGCTTTGTTTCCCAATTCTTGAAATAGGAAAAAAGTATATTCATAGGAATGATTACATATCCTCTGTAATACAACCACCTATAGTAAAAAGCTTTTTAAAATATCTGCTTTACTATATTAGCTAAATATTAGAATGAATTTTAAGTATATCAAAGAAGTGGCTTTTTGTTATGTATTTAAGTTAAAAGTAACACTTTGCATTTTACTTTTCCTTAGAAAACCTTTCTCAGTCTGTCTCTCTCTCTTTCTGTCTCTTTCTCTATCTGCCTTTGTCTCCCCCTTTCTCTCTCTCCTCTTTCTCCCCTTTTCTCTCTCCCTCCCCTCCTCTCTGTGAGGGTTCACCCTCCGTAATAATCTGTATTATAGAGATGGCACCCATGCTCAAGTGTTACTTGCAATGAAACCATGATCATTTGTTAGGTTATGCATTTATGGTTTTTAAAAGGTATATTAGATTACACATTTTAAAATTTTAGAAGTAAACATGGCATCCAATTTGTTACCAACTTATACAGTTTTTAAAATATAAGTAAGATTCACACCCTTCTTTTCTTACAATTAAGTATGGAATGTGAATATGAAAACAAATAATTGCAGTATATTGCAGTGCATACTGTTGTACAGGTATGTGTAAAGCATATATCTCTGAAAATGGAACTATCTGTGCAAGGCTTTCCAGACAGGTGGTTTGGTGTCCTGAGCCCCATAATGGTGTTGGAAAAACAGCATAAATTTTAAAGTTAGATCCAAGTTTTAATGTGCTCTGGTACTGCCACTTATTGAATTAGTTAACTTAATTTCTTTGAGCCTCAGAGCTTTTTTTCAGCTATATAAATATGGTTAGTATTTGCATATGTGATGTATGGTAAAGACTATTAAAAAATGTAAGATGGAATCTCTCATGTTACCTTTTACTCATGAGGGTTCCCACAAATGGGTATTGGTTGTCTTATTCTTATTGTTTTCTTTAATATTATGGAGTGCCTTATCATTATTGTTGACAAATGAATTAAAATTAACTAGATTAATTTAGAATAAGTCAAAGGAATATAAAGTAAGTACGAAAGGATGGCAAAGCAGGAAATGTCTAATAAACTGAAAAACTTGGGAAACGTATATTTTTATCTTTTCATTGATCTATAACTTACATATGGTTAAATTGCGACTTTTTGAATTTTTAATTACATGTAAATATTTATAACCACTTCCTAGATCTTCTGAAGGTTCCCTCATGCCCCTTCCCATCAATGCCTCCTATAGCAAAAGTAAATCACTTTCAGCCTCTAATCTCAGAACAGATTTTATAAATGGAACCATATGTACCTTCTTTTCCTTTTTTTTTTTTTGGTTAGGAATAGATGACTTATTTTACTCAATATATCTGTTGTTTTGTTCCTTTTCATTGTGTAATATTCTATTACAGAACCATACTATAATGTATATTCTATTAATAGTGGTCTGAATCATTTGCAGCTTTTTGACTGTTAGGAATAAAGCTGCTGTGATTCTTCCACCTTTCTTTTAAATAACACACATACTCATAACTTTTGTCAAATAGTTTTCCACTATTTTACTTTAAAGATCCACTAACAATAAATAGAGTTCCAGTTATTTCCTGTTGTCATCCATACTAGCATGGTATTATTTCCTTAGTTTTAATTCTCTTGATAGTAATGTAGATTCTATCTCACTTGTAGGAATGAAGAGGATAGATGTGAAAGATTTTAGTACTCCAGTCATTACAAGCAAATTTGGTTGGGGGGACCTATCTTAACTAATAGGGTCAACAATATATTCCAGACTTTAGGATTTTGTCTTTAAATATAACTATTTTAATAAAGAAAGAATCTTAAAATAATACTAAATTCTCACACATGGTGGAAAATGAGTAAAGAGCCAAGAAGTATTTTGGTAGAACCCCTTTGGCTTCTAATAAATATATTTAATAACAGATCTTGTCAGATAAGATTATTTTACACTTGGGAAAAGTAGCTTGGTCTGGTCTTACAAAGAGTCCTTAGTGTGACAATTTTTGCTTTGTTTCCTTGGAATTTCTCATGAAACTTTATGGACAGTATGGCAATATTTTCACTTTAGAACTTTAACCATTTTTGTATATTCTGTGTTCTTTGCATTTCACACTGATCATCTAATTTTTAACTTTTTAAATTAAAAGCATTTGACCATTTGTAAGACATTTTAAAAAGCATTTTTATTTACCTGTCTATAATTTTGAGTAATTTGGAGTCATTGGGAGCATCTTTTAAGGTAATAGTATAATTTATAAATTTTAGGTGTAGAGTCCTAAAATGGGATTTATTTGGATTTGACAGGTAATACATAATCTAGATTTATGAGTGTCTTTTTTCAATATTTGACACTTCTTATAAGACATACCTATATTTAAAAAATCTATTCTGACTTATACCCTTGTTGTTTTTATTTACTGTAGTATTAAAATATGTGAATATAGACACAGTAAAGAGGCATTTTTTCTACTCTGATTCATGGATTGATCTAGATTCTGCTGAAACCAGGACACTAGAGAATTGAAGTCTGTTCTTTTGAGAACAAAAGAAGAGACTTTTCTATTTCCAATCTATATTTTTAGAAAAATCCTGTTCTCTTGCACATGTGTTTAGAAAATCTTTGAAGTAATTCATAATTTGCTAGTAAGAATTTTTGTTTATTTGTATAAAAATTTTTAATTTTAAAAATTGAATTATGTAACTTTTTGGCTTGCCTTAATACTAAGCTCCAACTTCCTATAAGTTTTCACTTAAAATTTCATGCTGCATTTATGAAAAAATTTTCACCCTACTGCTAGGATTGAGTGATTCTTCTTCTTTCTTTTTCATAGTATAAAAGTAATTGAGTAAAATATCTGACTTACAAAAATAGAGTAGATTTGTTTTAGTTATTATAAACCAAAAACAGAATAAGAGGTACTGTCATTGATGTGTTAGAACTAATTTTGAAATGCTTCAGACAATGGTAGTATAATTGTATATATATTTTTAGTGCAGAACAAATAATTTTATAGTTAATATTACCTCTCCTCAAAAGTAGAAAGAAGGGCCAGGGATTCAGCTCAATGGCTCTGTGCCTGCCTCACAAACACAAGGTCCTGAGTTCAATCCCCAGTACGGGGGTGGGGGGGAGTAGAAACAATCACATTAAAATGTATACTGTTCTTTTAATATTTGATGCACAAATTTTATTAACATTCTTTAATTGAATGTTTTTCGTTAAATTTATTGGTACTTTTTAGGTATACAGTACAGTTACATTCATTGGGATCTTGTACCTTTATATGATGTATCTTGGTTCTTATTTTTTCCCCATTCCTCTGCCTTCCCTTCACCCTCTCCACCCTTCCCTATTTACAACGACTTTGTTTCCATTCTTTTCTTTTCTCATATTTTTTCTTTTCCATTCTTTCCATTCCCCTACCTCTTTAATTGTATTGTTATAATAATTTAATAATAATTTGTTAATTGCTTCAGCATTCAGCTGACTAGCATTCAGCTATTTTAATATGTTATGTGAATGCAAAGCTCCTATGTGTGTTTATCCTGCTACACTCATGTATTTTATGTTCAACCTTTTAGCATTTGTTTAGCAATAGACAATGATAAAAGGTTCAACATTAATAAGTATATACTGTGTGTCTCAAGTACTATGCTAAGTGGTTTTTTCTTTTCCTTTTTTTCCCTCCTCTTTTTTTGGTGTGGGGAGTGAGCAACATAAGGATAAAGTCTCAGTGTGTGGCTCAGGCTGACCTCAAACTCCTGGGCTTGAGTGCTCCTCCTTTTCCAGCCTCACAAGTATACGCTTGGGGCTACAAGTATATGCCACTGCAGGATTATTTCTCAAAGCCCTTGTTCCAGGCTTATTTCTCCGATCTTTTAAAATCACCTGTATTCGAAAATATTTCTATTTTCACAGTGGTGTGAAAGCATACTTGCTTGGGTCTGTCATTTGCCCTTTTTAGAAACCATGTCACTAGAATAAAAGGTTTATAAGGGCTGATTTCATATGAAGTTCTGTAGGAGCAAGAAAATGGCCATTTAGCTTGATTTTGGTAGGCTCGAGGAAGAACTTCATTGCCTCCCTAAGCTGTAATTTATTCTAAATAAGTATAGTAGAGATGACTCTTTAGAAACCTATAAACTATTACAGTAAAAAACTGTGTACAGCCTAGACTTCCTGCACTGATACACATCAAATATAGTCTGTATCTTAAATCGAAACAAAGTGTGACGCATGCCTGTAATCCTGGTAATTGGAAGGCTAAAGTGGGAGGATCATTTGTTCTAAGCCAGCCTGGCTACATGGCAAGACACTGACTCAGAAAAAGCAGAAAAAAAGAAAAACAAATATATGTAATTATATATATACCAAAATATTCATTAAAATGTGAATATATATTCACTAAATTTTATGCATATAAAATGTTGACATTGATAACTATATATATTAAAAAATAATGCTGAGATATTGACTATTTTTTCCCAAAGGTTTTGAAAGGGGGAGGGAAGATATTTCTCAAAATAGAGATGAATCTTCACTTTGCATGTCAAAGAGCAAGGTAAGCATATTGTTGTTCCAAATCTATGATCATTATATTTTTTAATATTTACAGTGCAGGAACTGAAATTCTATATAGTTTTTATGGGATATTTCTTATGTTGATATGTCTAAGCCAAGTAGTATGTATGGAAAAATTAAAGTTCTACTGGAAATTATTTAAGTACTGCTGGTTTCTCAGAAACACAGCCAGTTGGTAGCCAGTGTTTTCTCCAGAGTGATATTGTTTCTGATATTTTAGCCACAGTAATACTTCTCAGACTGGAGTCTGGGGATTCCATTCAGAGATATTCTAAGGTTCATGTCTTTTAAAAGGAAAAAATTCTAAGTTTTTTTAGTTCATTTACTTGACAATCTAAACATTTATATTTTATCAGTTAAAGGACAAAGATCTTTGCAGTAATAGCCTGCAATTAAATTATTTTTCTTAAAATAAGACCTATTTCTTAAATCAGTCTTTCTCAAACTGGGATATTTATTCTTAGATGTGTTGAGATTTATTTCTTTAAGAAAACATACTCAAATTTAAGAAACACTATAATGATGTAGCAATTTCCTACACTGAATTTTCTAAAATTTGTCACAGGATTTGAGTTTTGACTGTTTTTTCTGATCAGATTTAGTAGCAACAGAAAAAGCTTTTGGAATAAACTTGAAAGACTAAGAAAACCTATTTCCTTTTTTTGGTCCTCGGAATTGAACTCAGGGCCTTGTGCTTGTCAGGCAAGCAATGTATAGAACTATATCCCCAGCCCAGAAAATATTTCTTTTTTTCTTTTTTTTTTTCTTTTTTTTTTTTTTTTTTTTGGGAGGATTGAAATTGGACCCTTGCACTTGTGAAACAGATAGTGGAACCTGAGTCAAATCCCTGGCCCCTAGAAAACCTATTTCTTACACCATTAAATTCTCTGCTCTTCTCAGCAATAAGATATTTTCTTACTACCTTCTATTTTTGTTGTTGGGAATGGTTAAGAAGATTGTGCAATCGCTTCTCGGCCTTTTGGCTAAGATCAAGTGAAGAAGATTGTGCAATGTTTTTATATATGATTTTATGGAACTATTAGTTACATTTAACTTTTCAAGTATTCCTTACATGAAGGTCCATCTATCATATGTGTATTAAGGATGGAAGTTTAATAATACATCATACATATTTATATAATTTATACATGAAATGCCTTGATTGTATGGGGAGAAAAGGTTATTTTTCTCACCCATTGCAGGCTTCGTGGCTAATACCCCTATAACAAAAGACAGATTGACAAGAGAAAAAGCATACAGTTTTATTTAATATAAATTGGGTAACAAGACAGTGGTCAGTAAAGTTTATGAAAAGAAAGTTATTTATTAAGATATTTAGTAAAAATGGTTTATGGTTTTTTAATTTTTGGTCTGTTAAAAGTATGTTGTAGGCCAGGCGTGATGGCCTTTGCCTGTAATCCCAGCACTCTGGAGGCTGAGGCAGGAGGATCACTGTGAGTTCGAGACTAGTCTGGGCTACATAGTGAGTTCCAGGTCAGTCTCAACTATACAGTGAGACCCTGTCTCCAAAAAAACAAAACAAAACAAAAAGTAGGTTGATACAGGAAACTGATGTAGTAATGTATAAAATATATAACGTTTTCACTGGTTCATTATTTTGTCAAAAGTAGACCATGTAACAAGGACTCCTGGGATTTGTGGTAACACATTCATTAACTTTTTTGTTGGGGGGACGGTACTGGGGATCGAACTCAGGTCCTTGTTCTTGTAAGGCAGGCGGTGGAACCACTGAGCTAAATCCCTTGGCCCACTCATTAACTTTTAAGCTAATACTGTTAGTATTCTTCATTTAATAATATGTAAGCATATTACAGTACACATGTCCTATTAAATTGTGGAAAAGCAAATGTCATGATAATTTTAAGATATCCTCTGATACTAGCCATTACAACTTTGAGTTCTCAGCGCCAAGGAAAAGACAGAGACCTGTTAACCTAGAGGAATTTTGTGAAATTAGTTTGGTATCACAATGTACAACATAATTTTGGGAATAAGAGATTTGATGTTTCAAGCTTAGTACTTAAAATCAGTAACTTCAGCAAAATTTTAATCAAGTTGATCCTCCCTTTCTATATTCAGAGTTTTTTGCAGTTCGTTTTCAATATAGTCAGCCAGTACTATCACCATAAACTGGTATTTTGTACCAAGTAGCACAGACATTTTTATTATATGAGAGAAATTAGACAACACCTGCCATGTTTATTTTAATTTTATTAGTAGATCAGATGTTTTATTGAGTCTCTTCTTCAGGTGAGATACTGAATATTATTGATGAGTAAACATGATGCCCCCTTCATGGGTCTGATAATTGAATGAGGAAGTTATACTCAAAAGCTTTTTATCCTTGATTGTATCTAGTGATATACAAATCTGGACATTCTACTTTTTTTTTTTTTTGGTACCGGGGATTGAACTCAGGACTTTGTGCTTGTGAGACAGGCAGAGGTACCACTAAGCTAAATCCCCAGCCCTGGCCATTCTACATTTAAAAGTCACCATTCAGATCAAGTTGTTTATAAATTCTTAGTTCTAGTAATATTGCTAAGAACTCTTTAAGTGCTGTCTCCTGTATCTAATGCTAGGAAAAATTTAAATTATAGGACACTGAAGGAATATGTTTGATTTTGTTCTAAGATTTATGGAAACAGTTTTTAGTTTTGTGCTCTTCTACCCGGTGAAAGATCGTGAGCATTCTGGATTAGGAGATCTAGGATCTTATCACTGCTATTAATGATTGTGAGTTTGGAAAGTCAATTTCCTCAATTTCCTTTTATGACTTGTAAAATGGTGATAAAAGCACTTGGTGTGCCCATTTTTTAAGATCCTTATGAAAATTAATATATTTCCTGTTTCTGGGACAAAAATACTTGATTCCATAATTTAAAGGAGATATTTTACATCTATACTGTAACAAATAAAAATAGGAAATATAAAAGTCTGAAAGCAAAAAAGACATTGATAAGAATTTAGGTACATTGGATACCTAAGAAGAAAGAGATCCTGTGAATATTGTGATTTGATATGGTACAATTTAGAATGGTTTAATACTAGTTTCTGAAGATTATATTTCTTCCTAGTTCAGGAGGCAAACTAGTTGGGCAGTGTATATAGCAACTTGTTAAAATTTAGGAGGTTTGGTTTTTCACTTAGAATATTTCAGCTGTTAAAAAGTAACATTGCAGGCTGGGGCCTTAGCTCAGTGGTTTCACCGCCTGCCTTGCAAGCACAAGGACCTGAGTTCTGTCCCCAGTATCAAAGAAACAAACAAACAAAGCATTGCTTTGGCAGTTTTTGTCTAGAGAATTAACTAAATTATTGTGTATATTCTTAGAAATGCTCTGAAAAAGTAGAATGTGAAACTTCAGAAACAATCTTATTTAACTTTACATTGCAGATGATTATTACTTTTGAGTATTTATGGGTTCAACATGGATTTGTTTTTAAAAACAAATACTCTAGGGTTGGGATATAGCTCAGCAGGGCAGCAAATGTCTGGCAAGTTTCAATTCCTGGTATCAAAAAAAAAAAAAAGAAAGAAAGAAATGCTGTATAGGAAAAAACAATTTTTAAAAATCTGCATTTGGTTAAATCATAATTCTAAATGATAAGAATTTGAGAAATTAACATTAGATTTTATATGACATGTATAGATTAAGTGAAGGTTTTGTTACTTATGTTCTGTTCATTTCTATGTAATTTCAGTCTGAATCGAAACTTTATAATGGCTCAGAAAAAGACAATTCAACTTCAAGTAAGCTCACAAAAAAAGAATCTCTTAAGGTTAGTTTCTATAGATACTTCTGGAAAGTAACTTACATTGTACTTTGTTTATGCTTTTAAAAATAGGCTGTTGGGGTGGGGGATTTAGCTCAGTGGTGCTGTATAAGTGCAAGGTCTGGAGTTCAATCCCTAGTACCAAAAAAAAAAAAAAAAATGTAGGCTACGGGCCAGGGATTTAGTTCAGTGGCACCGTGCCTGCCTTGTAAGCACAAGGTCTTGAGTATTCCCTCCCTCAAAAAATAGATTAATAAATATATGTGCATATTCTTGTCCTTAAAGGAGGAAAACATATCCAGAGAGACATATAGACAGGCACACATGAAAGTGTTAACATTCGTATGGTGCATTAGGTTGTCAAAGACTGCTTCAAAGAAACATGCTTCTCTGAGAAGGATGCTTCAGGCTTCAGTGGCCAAATTGGGGGTGGGGGCCTAAGGACATGCAATCTTGTTACAGAGCTGAGCAGGCGTATCACCACCTGATGCAAATCTCTGGCACCCATTAAAATTTCAATTTTCTAACCACTAGATTTTGGGCTGAATTTGGTCCGTATTTTGTTTGAACTATATGATGTTTTAAAAATTCAAGCTAGCAATTAAAAGGCCAAATTTAACTTCTCTAAGGAAATACATATTATTGGACCTGCCTTCCTGAATACGAACAGAACCTGAGGCTTTGGATTGCAAGCTTTCAACTGGTCATTGCCTTGTTTGTTTAACACATTTGTGTTCATGCTTAGTCCTATTTGCATTTGCAGTCTCATTAAATCTATTAGTTCCAACATGAGTATTTTTTAAAATCAAAAGTCTAAAGTTTCTTTGGATATGAAATTATAAAAATATTACTGTATATATAATGTCCATGAAATGCAACTTTTTGTGGAATATATTTATACTGCAATTTTTTAAAAATGTAGGCACTAATAAACCAGGCATGGTGGCGCACACCTGTAATCCTAGCACTTGGGAGGCTGAGGCAGGAGGCTCACTGTGACTTTGAGACCAGCCTGGGCTACATAGTGAGTTCCAGGTCAGTCTCAACTACATAGTGAGACCCTGTCTCAAAAAAAAAAATCAAACAAACAAAAAAAAATGTAGGCAAAAATAGATTGTCTTTACTCTTACCCTCACACAATAAAGTATTAATAAGACTGAATTAATCCATTGCTGCTTTCTTAGCAATCTCAGAAATAACATGCTTGAGGTAAATCTATTGAATAAATTAATTACATTGTCATGGTTCCATATTTATTTCTTACATTTTAGAATCAGGAAAGAAAACAAGACTTCTGTTTACAAACAATTGCAGTATTGTTTATAATAGGCAAAAATTGGAATCAAAGTAGATTTCTATCAGTAAGTGAATTCATTAAGAAAAATGATAGAAATAATTTAACCTAGTAAGTAAGAGCATAGCTTTGGGAGCCAGTCAGCTTCGATTTGAATCCTGATTCCTCAACTATCTAGCTGTGTGATCTGAGCCTGTTGCACTATCCACCTCACTTTTCTCATCTGTTAAAATAAGGTTAATAATAGTTCTACTTCAAAAGATTATTGTGATGATTAAGTGAGGTAATAGTAATACAGCTTAAATCCTTAGAAAAGTGACTGGTTCACAGGTTGCACCCAGTGTTAGCTTTCTCATTATTTTGATACTAGGAATCCTATAGAGCACTTAAAAGAATAAGGTAAACTGGAGGTGGTGGGGAACTCTGGGAGGCTGCATAAGAAGGATCACAAGTTTGAGCCCATCATGGTCAAACTAGCAACTGAGTGAGAGACTGTGTCAAAATAAAAAGTAAAAGGGGCTGAAGACAGAAGTCACTATGAAGGCTCTGGATTCAATTTTCACTACCAAGGAATTGAAATATATGAATAAAGTACTCCTGGGAATTCTCCAGAAAATATTGAATGAGAGGACTTTTTATATATTAAAAAGACATAGAGCTATATATTTGTATAGATCATATAAAGAGGCTTAAAAGGCAGTGTTTTAAAGAAGATTAACAGTAGCCAGTTCTGGGAGTTGCATTAAGATGTGGTAATAATAAAAATAGCTTTTAGCTTTCTTTTACTTGAAGTGTTTACTATGAGATTATATTCATGCATTGTTGGATAATTTAAAGAGATAGTACTATAAAAGGTACTAGTAATGAGAAAATCTACATTTTAACCCAAGTTGCCTAAAAGTTCCTCCCAGCAATAAAACAATTAAATATATTATAGCTTTCCATAATTCTAAGATGCTAGAATTCTAAGCACATTGAGAATCTTATGTTCTACATTGTGTAGACTAAAAAATTGAAAAGAACTTGATTTTTATATTGTTTTTAATTTTTTAAATTATTTATATAAAATAGGTACAAAAGAAAAATTACCGAGAAGAGAAGAAAAGAGCCACAAAGGAGTTACTCAGTACAATCACAGATCCTTCTGTTATTGTTATGGCTGATTGGTTGAAGGTTGGTGTGTATTGAATCTCTATTTTTCACTGGGAAGGAAACTATCCATTATATTCCAGAGGATCTTATGTTCCAATCTAAGTTATGATTTGAAAAGCAGTAATTATTAGACAAATATTGGTGTTTCTTTAGCCAATTCTTTGGGCCTCTGGTTATTTTTATTTTTACTTCCTTTTTCCTCATCCCTATCGCTCTAGCCTTTTTCTCATTCCCATCTGAGGGATAACTGATAGGAATCTTTCAAACTAATTCTAACTTTAAGAATGAATTTATAGCTGGGTGGGTGCATGCCTATAATCCCAGCAAGCAGGAGGCTGAGGCATGAGGATCCTGCTAGTTTGAGGCCGGCTTGGGCTATGCAATGAGTTCAAGGCCACCCTCAAAAAAAAAGAATAAATTTGTAAGACTCTTAACTGCCAGAGAGTTTTAGTATCTGGCATTTGCCTAGGAATCAACACTGCTCTGAAGACTTTCCACTTTGCTCAAGAGTTGGTAAAACTTCTAACTTCATAACCCTTATAAGATCTACTAGAAATTTTCTCACTAATATATGAGTCTGATGATAGTTGGCCTTACAAAGTTCAAGAAATTCTTAAGAGTTACCTTCAAATTTTTTTGCTAAAAACCACTTCCAACTTATTTTGGTACTACTTGCTACTTACAAGTGCTACTTAATCTCACGTTTTCATAGCCAAACCCTCTGACTTACTGTCTGTTTATATATTTATTTATTTACTTATTTATTTATTGAGATAGGGTCTCGATCTGTAATTCAAGCTGGCCTTGAACTCACTCTGTAGCCCATGCTGGCCTCAAAACTCTTGGCAGTCCTCCTGCTTCAGCCTCACAAGTGCCAGGATTATAGGCATGTGTCACCAAACTGGGCTCTGACTGTCTCTTTATTTTTTATTTTTTTGGTATCGGGTACTGAACTCAGGACCTTGTGTGTGCAAGACAGGTGGCAGAACCACTGAGCTAAATCTCCAGCCCGTGACTCTTTTTAAACATTACCTTCATTCTGATAATTGTCCTTTGTTTTCTAGCATTACACCTCTAAGATCCAGAATGTTATCTCAGGGTAACTCTCTTCTTTTTTCTTCTCTTGTTTCACCATTTCTTTTACATATATATATATACATGGGTTTTTCTTATAGATTTTATCTTTTCTGTATGCCTGGTTCCAAATTCTCCCTTTATAAATTTTTCTTTGGAATTACTGGGATCTGCCTGTGGGAAAAGCGGGCAGGAAAGCCATATTTATTTCATAATTCTCCTAAGTACATTGAGAAAACATGTTATACAGTAAGTGAAAGTGAGAACAATTCCTGTTTTTAATCTAAATATTCTATTAGCATCCATGTAATTTAGTCCCTAGAAGCTATTCTAGTGGATTACAGATAAAAAGTGATTTTTTTCCTATTAGGTTTATTGGTACTTTTTAGGTATACATTATGGTCACATTAATCATTGGAAATTTGTACCTGTACATGATATATATTGATTCTTGTTTCTTCCCATTCCCCTTTCCTAAGAGCTTTGTTTCCATTTTTTTCCTTCTTTTTTCATAAAGAGTGATTTTAAAAAGTAGTTGCATATATTTATTGATGTAGCACTACAGATAAAGAACTTTTTATGAGAGATTAATGTAACTTGTGTTTAAAGATTTCCTTCACGTAGGAGAACAAGGCAGGAGAATCATGAGTGTAGACCAGCCTGGACTGCATAATGAAATCCTTCAAGAATTTTATATGGTGCACTTTCTGTACTTACCAGAAATAATTTAAGGAAAGAACTTTTAGGAGCCAAGAAGAAGTTCTTTCCTCTTCCTATCATTCTCCAGATATCCACTGCCTATTGTCTGTTTTCAGCACTGTCATGTGGTAGTAAGGTGAAAATTCAGAAAGAAGAGAATAATAATTTACTTACACAAATACATTTGCAGCTACAATAAATGCTACAAAAAAGAAGACTCTTCAATACCTGGGAAGTCTGTTTTAATGGGCCCTGACCTGGTCCAGAAAATTAGGAAAATTATTATACTTAGTACATTATTTTGAAACTGCTAACTTTGTCTTCTACTAAAATTTAAGATCCTTAGAAGCAGAAACCATATCATTTTACATCTGTTTGCAGTGCTTTTCTTGTAGTGGCTTTTTGAAAAAAGTATGTATGTAATCTAAAATGTGTATGTCATAGAGACTTTACATTAAAACATTCTATTTGCCATTAGTTTGTGTCTTGTGAACCAGAAAGAAAAAAACAAGTATTTATTTTTTGAATAAACTTATTTTCTATAGATTCGTGGTACTCTAAAGAGCTGGACTAAGTTGTGGTGTGTGTTGAAACCTGGGGTGTTACTGATCTATAAAACCCAAAAAAATGGTCAGTGGGTTGGAACTGTTCTTCTGAATGCCTGTGAAATCATTGAGCGTCCATCAAAAAAGGATGGCTTTTGTTTCAAACTTTTCCACCCTCTGGAGCAATCTATTTGGGCAGTGAAGGTATGTAAACACTTGTTGAGGTAAAAATGACCGTTCTGTGAGTAGAACTGATAAATTAATCAAATGACTTATCTCCTTTGCCAGTACTCAAATTCCTTTCTATTTTAAAAAAAGTCCCCTTTTCTGTCTCTATCCACATTACATCAAAAGTCTTTATTTGCCTTGGTAATCTAACATACTACTTTTTCAAAAAATATTTATCAGATTTCTCTTCTTTATAATATTGTATCATGTTTACTGTGTTTTTTCTCTTCATAAAAATGGTAAGATTCCCTGAAATAGAAACTGCCATTTATCTCTGGTATTTCCTGTAATGATATGAATGTGTGATGGGAAGCCTAGAAAAAGCAGCTCTACTTACTCTTCACAGAGGCAGCTTTCTTTCAAGATTGGGCTCTTAACCTTTTTATAATGAAAAAGCATTACTGTGGTTACTCCTGTGCTGTATGCTAACCAAATCAGTCAGTGTAATTTCAGTATCTACAAAATGACTATTGCTTTAGTTTCTAGAAAAGTTAATTATACTTGAATAAAGGATTTTGAACTCCTCCTTAAGGAAAATTACCTGTTGGTACAAAAACAGGCATGTGGATCAATGAAAAGTAATAGAGGATGCACACACAATGCCAGGCACATTTACCTATGTGCTCTTTAACAAAGGGGCCAAAAATGTACAGTGGAGGAAAGAAAGCTCCTTTAACAAATGGTGCTGGGAGCTGGGGATGTAGCACAGTGGTGCCAGCGCCTACATGGCAAGAGCAAGGTCCTCAGTTTGATCCCCAGTACTGGAAAAAAGCAAATACTGCTGGAAAACCTGTCTATCCACATGCAGAAGATTGAATCTAAATCCAAATACTTCACCGTGTACTAAACTAAAATCAAAATGTATCAAAGATCTAAATATAGAACAGAAACGATCTGCTAGAAGATAAAAATAGGTAAAATTCTAGAAAAAACATAGATGTAGGCAAGCACTTTCTGAACAGAACCTCAATTCCACAAGAAATAATATCAAAAGTAAACAAATTCACTATTTTATATCTAGTGCACTGGTGGGTTGAAAATTCTCTGCTAAAATTAAAATTGGGTTTACCTATTTTATCTTCTAGCAGATTTCTGTTTTACTTTTATTTTTACTAGCACATAATGATTACATTTATTGTGGGAAATTGGTTGACACATATACGTAACACATCTCAATACTTGTTTTTTTCCCCCTTCCCTTTCATTCCTTCTTTAGAAAAATTTTTCCAACATCAGATTACTTTATTTGTAAGTCCTTATCAAATTACTTATCATAAATAATAAACACAAGTTAACAGCAAGATTAACAAGCCAAAAATATAGATAAAATTCATAAGACAAAATTGTACTAAATCAAGGAACACTTTTAGATACATTGGTAATACTGCATTTTCCCCCTTTTTTTCCTATTATGTTTTTACTTTGTACTTTATATATTGGGTTTTTCATATAAAGGAAACCATGTAATAATTAAGCTTGTGTGTCTCATTTGTTTCACTTAACATTATGGTCTCAAAGTGTACCCATTTTCCTTCAGATCACTCAAGTTTATCTTCTTTATGACAGAGTAGTACTCCATTGTATATAAAAAACACATGTTCTTTATCCATTCATCTGTTGATGGTTATATAGGCTGCTCCCAAGATTCAACTATCGTGGATTGCACAGGAATAAATATGGGTATGGAAGTGTCTCAGTAATAGGATGTCTTTAATACTTTTGGGAAGATACCTAGAAGGGGAATAGCTGAGTCAATGGAATTTCTACTTTTAGTTTTCTAAGGGATCCCCATTCTGATTCTTTAGTGGTTGTAACAGTTTATATTCCTACCAACAATGAAGAAATGTTCCCTTTTTTCCCTGCAGCCTCTCCAACATTTGTTGTTGTTTGATTTCTTGATGATGGCCATTCTTTCTGGAATGAAATGGAATCTCAGTGTTGTTTTAATTTGCATTTCTCTAATGACCAGAGATGTTGAACATTTCTTCATATATTTATTTGCTATTTGTACTTCTTATTCTGAGAAGTGTCTGCTCATTTCAGATGCCCATTTTTGATGGGGTCTTTAATTTTAAAGAGTCTAATTTTTTTAAGTTTGTTATGTATTCCTGAGATTAGTCCTTTTTCTATTGATTTCTAGGTTCATTGCATTATGATCTGATAATATGTATGCAATAATTTTGATTATTTTACATTTATTTAAGCGTGATTTATGGGCTCTATTTTGGGGAAAGTACCATGTGCTACTGAGAAGGATCTGTATTCTGTTATTGTTAAGTGGAACGTACTGTAGATATATTAAGTACATTTGTTGGAAAGTTTGGTTCAACTCTGATAATTCTTTTTTGAATCTTTTGGTCTGGTTTATCTGTCTATTAGTGGCAGTGAGGTACTGAGGTTCCCCCATTACATTTGTCTTAGTTTTGTGTGATTTTCATGTCCATCAATGCTTGTTTGATGAAGTTGGGTGTGCCAGAATTTAGTGTGTTTTAAGTTTATAATTGTTATCTCTTCTTGCTTTATTGTTCCTGTAACAATATGTAGTGACTTTCTTTGTCTCTTCTGATCAATTTTGGCTTGAAATCCACTTTGTCTGAAATTAAAGTAGCTGTGCCTGTTTTTTTCTGGGCTCCTGTTACATGGAATATTGTTTTCCATTCTTTGATTTTTAATCCATGAGTTTCTCTTTAAATTAAATGTGTTTCTTATGTAGTGCATATAATTGGATTGGTTTCTTGATCCATTCTGCGAATCTGTGTCTTTTGATTGGAGAATTGAATTGAGACCATTTTCATTGAGAGTTATTGACTTCTTCCTGTCATTGCATTATTTTACATTAGCTGGTTTCCTCCCCCCGCCCCCTGCTTTTTGTGCTTAGCTGATCATTCTGCCAAGTATATTTATTCTTTTTCACTTCTTGGCATTGATGGCTTCATTGTCTTTTTCTAGGATAACCTTGATTGTTTTTAATACTGACTTGGTCGTTATCAATTTCTTCAGGTGCTCCTTGTCATGGAAGTACTTTATTTCTAGTCAATTTTGAAGGATATATTTTCAGGGTTATAAGTTCTTATGAGTTTGAAATACTTCACTTCAAGCCCTCCAAGGATTGTGTTTTGAAGTCTGCTGTAATTCTGATGCATTTTCATTTATATGTGATTCATTGCCTTTCTCTAACACCTTTTAAGATTTTTGTCCCTATGCTGTATGTTGATATTTTGAGTATAATGTGACACAGAAAGGTTCTCTTTTGGTCATGGTTATTTGGGATTCTATATTCCTCATTTATATATTTATTTCTTTTTTTATATTTGGGGAGTTTTCAGGTGTGCAGCTTACACTGTTCTGCCTTTTAATGACCTTGGATTGGCTTTGGAATAGTTAGGAGTTTTAGGAGACATTTGGTTGGCTTGTCTTCTCATATTTTTATTATTTTGTGCTGATGTTTGTGGATGCTTGTACTCTAAAGACTTTAGTGCTAGTATAGAGATCCCTTTAGTTGCTTTTCAGTGATGTACTTCAGGTATAGCTAACTATATGTAGGCCCAAGATCTGACCACCTTGATTAATTTGCGATGGGAGGAAATAGTATAATCATTCCAACAACTGAGTTCTCTGAAAATGTATTCTAGAATTGTTAATGTCACCGAGGTAATCTGAGTGTTGACTTACAGAGAAATAGCAACAATTATGTGACTCTGGTAAACAGCTGAAGTAATATTGTTCAAGACAAATTAGATATTAACGTACTATAAGAATCAACTGTGTCCCACTTTTAACCTTAAAGAAGAAATCCACAATTATGGTGTAAACATTAATATAATTGACTTATTATTTTAGAGCTAATATGTACAAAAGGTGATAGCTATATTTCCACTAGTGGTAGAGAGGAATTCAACAGTAATTTTATAGAATAACTATCAAAAGATTAATAAAGCTTTATGGTCATATTATTAAATATATAAAGTTTTGGAACATGGGAATACAGGAGGGAAAATAAGAAACCTTAAGCTATATGATATGAGAAAGAACAGAGAGAAATAGAACAAAGGATCTTATTAGGGAGTAGGATGTTTATAGGTAAAGGTAAGAGAAAAAACTGACAAGAAATAGAAGGTAGACAAAAAAGAAAAAAAAAGAAATTATATGAGGAGTAAAACTAAGAGGAAAAAAATTAGTCAGGCATGGTGGCACACGCCTTTGATCCTAGCACTGAGCCAAGAGAATTGCCAGATGTTTGAGTCCAGCATAGGCTACATAGTAGCATAGTAAGCAAAACCCTGTCTAAGGGGATAAAATTTAAAAGAGAAAAGAGGGAAAAACAGAACAAAAGGAGATAAGCAAGGAAAAAGGAATATTCTCCCCAAACCCCAGGAAACTGGTGAAGAATAAAGGAGGAAAGGAAAAAATTAAATAAGACAAGCCTAAAAACAATGCACACACTAACAAAAACAAACCAAAAAGAAATTTCTCTGTGATTTCAAGTATGTGGTTTTCTTTCATGATCTATAATTTTGAGGCAGTGTTCAAGTCAAGACATGTCTCTGTTCACACTGGTAGATAAAGCAGGAAGTCAGACCCCAGATCCATGCTGGATGCAGGCACCAGCAGGCAGTAGGATTAGGGCAAGGAGGCCAGTGTCGTAATTTTCAAATCCAGAGGTATTCAATCCAGATCCTGGCTTCTGGCTGTGGGGGTAGGACCTGTGTCCTTTAGCTCAAGCCCCTCAAGTCTCTTTCCAGGCCATCTCCCGTGGCTGTCTTTCACCCAGTCATTTTGGGAATGTAACACTGGAAGCCCTGACAGGAAGCTATCCTGCAGCTGCTCTGAATCCTCAGTTCCATCAGTGCTTCTCTAGAATGGCATCGGACTAAGCACTTTCTCCAGGGATATAGCAGGCACTTGGACTGGAGTCCCTCACCAGCTATTGCCTGTAGGAGGACTCACATGGAAGCAGAATCCCGTGCTCTCCCTGAAGCTCCTGGCACCCACTGGTCTGTTCTACTGCTGGCCCTCTGGAGTCCCCAGTTTTTACTTTGTCTCTGCAGATTTCATCTCGCTTTCCCAAGAGCTATGAGCTGGGAGCAAGGGAGAAAGTAGACTGTCCCTTCCCTTCTCTGCATTGTGTTCTGTCTCTCTGATTTTGCTGTAGGTTTTAATGTTCCTATTAGATCATTTCTGGTTCCTGGAGAACTATTTTTCTTTTGTTCTTCCCCAAGTTGTTGTTTTCTAGTGTCTGGATTCTAAATCTTGGAGAGGCTGAGTTGTTATTGTTTACCACTGTGCCATTTTCTCAGAAGTCTGATTTTCTGTTTCATTTATTCATTTATTTATTTATTTATTTATTCATTCATTCATTCATTCATTCATTTATTTGGTACTAGGGATTGATCTCAGGACCTTGTGCTTACGAGGCAAGCGCAGTACCACTGAGCTAAATCCCCAGCCCTCCAATTTCCTGTTTTAATATCTACGCCTTTGATACTTTTTGATTTTATTTTCATACATGGTGATAGATATGGGTCTAGACTCAGTCTTCTACATGTGAATATGGTATGGTTTCTCTTACATGAGAAACTCAAAGTGTAAATAAAGAGCAAAATTAAGGATGAATAATAGAAATTAAGGGGATAGACCTTTTTTCAAGTTGGAAAGGGACCCAGAGATGGAGGGATGGGGAAGGAAGGAAAGGAGAAGGGGAAGAAAAAAATAAAGATGTATTATCCAATTTACCACAATGAATGTAACCACTACATACTACAAACATGTACTAATAAAAAAATAAGTTAAAAAATTAAAATTGGGTTTAATGTATGGTAAATTTTAGGTTCTCTTTAAGATTTGAGCAATATTAAAAAATACTTAAATGACTTTAACTATCACTGTTATTTTCTGTTAAGGAAATATATTTGTTGGAAAAGAAAACTTCCCTTAATACTTGCATTCTCAAGAAGGATGAAATTTAATCTTATTTGCTTTTGAAATTGTAATCTATGCCTTCTGTACATTATTACTGAAAATAGTGGGCAATATAAAGTTAAGAAGTCATAATGCTTACTCTATACTATTTATTTTGTTGTTAAGGGTCCAAAAGGTGAAGCAGTTGGATCTATAACTCAGCCCTTACCTAGCAGTTATTTGATCATCCGAGCTACTTCAGAGTCAGATGGTAACTATAGTTTTTGATGGATTTAATTTTTGGTTTCATTTTTTAAGGTCTTATTTCATATACCAATTTGTGTTATCCTTGGAAAAATCTATTTATTATGATACTTGTAGCAGTAATTATAATTGTAATTATATAATTATATAATAAAATGTAGTTATATAATTGTATAATAATTGTAATTATAAATTGCTTAGAAGACCAAATACATTAACTTGATAGACAAACAGAAATCTGATAGGAAGAAAGCATTGTATAATTGAGCAGTGTGTTAGTACCTTAGAGTGTCTTCTTTATCCCCCATTGACAGATTACACCTTTTTGACTTACTAGTGTTCTTTATGATAACTCATTAAATATTAACTTTTTAGGGATATATTTTATCCTATTTAGATTTTATCATTAAATGTTAATGTAAGATACATATGCACTATTTTGGTTTTATTTTATATATGAAGATATTAATGTACAAATTATTTTATTCCACACTTAATTCATGAAGCAATTATGATAGAACAAGATTTACTTATATGAAAGTAAGATAGCTTTAAAACCTTAATTAATCATGGATTTCTTTTACATTTATAGTTTAGATTAGCTGAATATAGAGAATCTTATAATCTTTCAAAGACTTTTTCAAAGATTATTTTTTAAATCAAAGTAGAATTAAGAAGTTTCAATATGGAAATATTTGTGTGGCTGATGTTTCTGTCAGATCTTGAAACAAACGTGTTTGTGTAAATTTAAGCACTGAAGTATATATGAACATTTTTCTGCTAATAGAAATATGTTTTAATATACAAATAGAGCTATTAATGTTTCTCTTAAGTGTGGCAGTTCATAATAATAGCATTATACAGAAATTTTTCTAACTTAAAAATTTTCATACATGTAAGTACAATGGTTTCTACTCTTTCAGGTAGTTTGTTTACAGTAGAAACATAACCCTTTTAGTATATTTTATGTACCTTGCTGGCACCTTCAAATTATAGTGCATGTCATTGTTCCAAAATTTGGAAAATGAAGTGCATTATTGAATATACCTGTTAATGCTTGCTCTAAACTGTTTATCAGTGGTTTCTGGATGCTTAGTATATAAAAATCATTTGTAAAACAAAGATTGCATTAAGAAATCCTTAACATTATACAATATTTGTTCATATTAACTATTTTAATGCATATTTCTCAAAGAAATAATAGTATGTTTAAAATTAACTGGTAAAAATGGGTGTTCATAGTTTCTTTAATTATACTTCGTATGAATCTGTGTTCTTCTAGGAAGGTGCTGGATGGATGCTTTGGAGTTGGCTTTGAAATGTTCTAGTCTTCTTAAACGTACAATGATCAGGGAAGGAAAAGAACATGACCTGAGCATTTCATCAGATAGCACCCATGTGACTTTGTATGGCTTACTACGTGCTAACAATCTCCACAGTGGTGACAACTTCCAGTAAGTAGATATTATTACTAATTTATAATGATTTCAGAGACCTTGTTGTTCCCTAGGTTAGTTGATAGTCCTAGTATTTTAGAAATAAACATATGATTGAAATTTGCCAATCTTCTTCTCCTATATGGCCTAAGCCTTTAAAATTTGTCTGCTAGGGCCAGGGATTTAGCTCAGTGGTGCCATACCTGCCTTGCAAGTGCAAGGTCCTAAGTTCGATACCTGGTTCTGGAAAAATAAATAAAAAATAAAATAAAATTTTTCAGCTATAATTAAGTATAAACATTTATTTCCTTTACTCAAACCAACCTGAATTACTCTCTTTCCCAAATACAAACATACTGTCTTTGTCCATAATATTCCTTCCACTAAAAATGGTTTCTTATTCACCTGTCATAATCCTATGTATTTTTCAAGATCAGTTTAAAATATTAGATAATTTATGCAGTTTTTTTCTTCCTCTTAAAAATGAAATATGATATTTTTATTGCTATTCCCATTTTTTGTAATGGCACTCAAATTACTTTCTGTACCTGGTATTTCTGGGAGTATTTTATATTGTTAAGTGTTTGAGATTGGAATTAAATCCAGTTTGTGGCTTTATCTCCTGAAACTCATTGTAGTTAATACTAAAAAATTATTTCTTTGGGGAAACTGTGCAGCAGTTCAAAGACTGTTCAGGTGCTGGTGTCTTTGTTGTTTTGTAGCTTGAACACTGAACTTCTCCTTTTCCTCCCTTCCCCCACCTCTCCGCTTCTATCTTGCAGCTGCTCATTCTAATCAGCACTGAGCTTGCTATTCCTAAAGTTAAACTGATCCATGCAACCTGAGCCAAACAGTTTTTTACTATCCTTTTCCAACACTATTTTGTTTGTGTCTTTGTTTCTACTCCTTTAAAATCTCTGTTACCTGAATTATTACACCTATAATCTAGAATTTTTCAATCCGAAATACCTGGAGCCTGAATGGGCTACTACAGGAGTTAAGTGGGACAACTAATGTAAGTGTATTTGTCAGGATCTATTTCCAAGCTATTACCCACTTTATACAGATTATTTACCCTAATCACTTTTAGTAAGAATAGGATGAGTATAGCAGAATTTATCTTTCTTTTAAAATTTAATTTATAGGTACATTCTAGGTAGACAGTACAGTTACATTCATTAGCAGAATTTTTCAATTTTAGACTGTAGCCATGTTTCTGTGAGCTAAAGTTTCCATTTCCAATTCTTCCTGGAATTTTTGCCTCAAGATTAAGCTATTTCATCTTATTCTTAGATACTTTGGTTGTCATTAGAGACTTTTACAAATAAGAAGTTGTAATTCATTTGAGTTCACTTGAGAGCCTGTTCTTGTCTTACATTGCTTCTTCACCAAAATGATAGTGAGCTTGCTTGAAACGATGTTTATAGAAGAAAACAAATCTATGTAGGAGTAGTTTAAAATTTTACTTTTTGAAGATTTTTGCCCTAGGAAGAGAGAGACACAGCACTCAGAATATTATGTTTTAACATCACTCCAGGTTATCATTTTTCTCTGTGCCTCTGTTTACTAATTTGTAAAATAAAACTAATTTTACCTTTTCATAGGGTAATTTTCAGGATTAAATGAATTTAAACTATAGAAAACATTTAGAACAGTGGCAAGTGCATAATAAACTCACAATAAATGTTACATTCATTCTAATGTATAAAGTAAAGTATTCTTAGCCTCCTTTATTCTTCCTCCTAATAACTCCCTTAGGTTAAATGATAGTGAAATTGAACGACAGCATTTTAAGGACCAAGATATGTATTCTGATAAATCTGATAAAGAAAATGATCATGAACATGATGAATCAGACAATGAGGTGTTGGGGAAAAGTGAAGAAAGTGATACTGATACATCAGAAAGGCAGGATGACTCATATATCGAACCTGAGCCTGTTGAGCCTTTGAAGGATACCACTTACACTGAACAGAGCCATGAAGAGCTTGGAGAGGTAAAAGTACATTTTCAGAGATTATGATTTTCTAATTCTTAGGAATTTCTGAATAAAGTTTTAGATACTATTTGATTGATATGTTTTCCTGAGAAATGATATTTATACCTATTTTATTTTTTTAAATATTTATTTACTTATATGTAAAATGTATATGAAATATTTCAAGATTTGTAAACAGCTAAACACATGTATAGTACTTATACAAATACCAATATAGGCTATCAAATTTACAGTTTACATTTTCTTCATTTGTTCTTGAAATAGGATACTGCCTGATATCATTGTCAAGTGCAAAGTAAATTGCAAGGAAACATGAGTTTATAACTGTCTTTCTATTGCTAATTCATAGAAGTATAGTATAAAATAATAGGATATAGTGTTTTTATATATTATTCATTTTGTATTTTGTGGAGCTATCCCTTTTTACTTAAGCTTTATAGCTGTAGACTTTATTTATTATTTAAAGAGTTGTTTCCATATTTTAAGTATGCTTGAAATAATCCTGGAGAAAACTTGTACTTTCAACATGCTGTCTTGTCTACATATTTGAAGTAAATATAATATTTCAGTATGTTTTGTTAATTGCTAAAGGCAGGTGAGGCTTCTCAAACAGAAACTGTGTCTGAAGAAAACAAAAGCCTTATCTGGACACTACTGAAACAAGTCCGTCCGGGTATGGACTTGTCCAGGGTTGTTCTGCCCACATTTATTTTGGAACCTCGGTCTTTCCTGGATAAACTTTCAGATTACTACTATCATGCAGACTTCCTGTCTGAGTAAGTATATTCTTAATTCTTAAAATAGAAGATACTGTACTTCATGATTTTAGAGATTCTCAAGAGTGCCACTTTCAATGATTATGGCTTTCCAAAGTCAGATTCTAATAAGACATCATTCTCTCTTTTTTTTTGGTACCAGGGATTGAACTCAGGTCCTTGCACTTGCAAGGCAGGCCACCAAACTGCTGAGCTAAATCCCCGGCCTAACATCATTCTCTCTTTTTTTTTGGTACCAGGGATTGAACTCAGGTCCTTGCACTTGCAAGGCAGGCCACCAAACTGCTGAGCTAAATCCCCAGCCTAACATCATTCTCTCTTTACCACTTCTATTGTTGATCTTAATAAAAAATGTACTTTATGAAGTATTGGGAGATCACAATTTTGAAGAAAATACGAATTCTGCCCACATTGCTGTGACAGGCTTCTTGACCTGTTCACTAGCTTTAGTAATTGACACTGACTTTGGTAATTGGCATGTGCTCCTCATCTAAGCCTTCATTCAAGTCCCATCCTAGGACTTGTTTCTTGTGAGACCTGTGCAACTTACACAACCAGAATGATCTGCCAGTTACTGGCTTTTATATCAGTACCTTTTCTTATCTTTGCTCTTTTTTGGAAGCTGCCAGCTGATCTTGAGTGTAATGCTTGCACTTGCAATGCAGGCGCTGGAGCCACTGAGCTAAATCCCCAAACTCTTGAGTGTAATTCTGAAGAATGCAAGCATAATTAAACAGGAGAAGAACTGTCCACTTCTGTCCTTAAAGTTTTCTGGAGAGCTTTGCAAACAACAGCAACTTTGTGGCCACTGTCTCACCCCCACCCCCTCCACCTGATGCCCTTACTCCAACAGCAGTGGTGTTTCCAAGACACTGTGTTTTCTGTGGTACCAACTACTGGCCCTGTGACCTGATTTTTTAGACTCTGCATCACTATCTGTTTTCAGTTTCTTTTTATTGCATTAATAACCTTGGAAAAAAATCATAAGTGAGTCAAATGATAATTGATAAACTGTAAGAAAATTTTACAAAGTATATGCTAGACAAAATGTTAATCTCTCTGAAATATACCAGTTCTTCCATCTTCCTTCTTTCTTTATCTGTCTAGGAATTCATTTCTCTCAGAATGTAAAGCAAATTCCTATAAAAAGATTCCCATTTCAACAAATAGGTTATACTTTTCTGGCAACACATACTGTTGCCAAAACTCTCTGGGGCAATAGACACTCTCACACATCTCATGAGTAATACAAAGTAGCACAGAGCCTTTGATGGGAAACTGACAGTATTTACCAAGATATAGATTCATTCATCCTTTCATGCACTAATCTTGCTTATTGTGAATAACTCCTGCAGCTATAACTCCACATATACCAAATGACACATATGGAAGATTGCTGCAGTGGAGTTTATAATAGTAAAGCATTAACGATAGCTGAAGTGTCCAGCCATGGTTAACTGATTAAATAATACATGGTACATCTACACATATACAGAAAAACTAACTCTATTGGTATAGAGAGAGCTCCAGAGAAAAAGAAGATACAGAAGAGTGTGTACTATACTTTTAGAAAAACAGGTCTACTTATATTTGTTTATTTATGCATAGAGGAAACTTTAAAAGAACATTATAAAAAACTAACCTTAGCCATCTGCATGCCTATAATTCCAGCGCTCTGGAACACTGAGGTGGAAGAGGCAAGTTGGAGCCCAACCCTGATCAATTTAGCAACTTAGTGAGACCCTGTCAAAATAAAAAATAAAAACGGCTGGCGATGTGGCCCAGTGTAAAGGCCCTGGGTTCACTGACTTCAGTCATCAGTACCTCAAAAACAAAAATGAAAACAAGCCAGAATAACCTTATGTATAGGTGATAAGTAGGAACATTGTAGCGAGATGGAACAATATTATAACTATTGTACATTGCAGTCATATACATTGAAGACATGTATTTCTTCATATTGTTTTGAGTTTTTGAGCTCTGTATATGTAAAATTCAAAATTACATAATAAGAGAATTTAAACCAATAGGAGGGGAGCAATTAGTGGTTTATTACTGAAGAAAAATACAACTTGGCATAGTTGTCAGTAAGCCTAGACCCAGCCTCTGCCATCTCATACCTCATCAGTCATGCTTGTGAAACATAAATGCCTTTTTATAAATAAAGAATAATAGCTACATTACAAACAAATACAATAAGACGCCTTATCAATAGAACTCACATCCAACACTCATAACCAGTGTTTTGCCAGGTTGGCAACAACAGCCAAATGGGTGTGAAGAGGCAGTTGAGTCATTGCTCCTATAGATTTCTCCTATACAATGAAAATTATCTTTGACTTATCTATTATACTGGTATTGTTTTTTCACTTTGGAAAATAAGTTGTAGAACATAAGGGGAGGTCAAAGAATAGAAACAGGTGAAAATCTTTTCAGTTGATTAAAATATTTTTAACTCTTCCATACTTTTAATTTAAAACTTCTGTGTTTTCTAGTAGAGACTGAAAAACCATAAAATCTTAGAAAGATAAATGAGAGTGGCAAACACCAACTTACTGTCCTGTCCTCCTTGCACCACACCTCTTACCAGTTAGCACTGATTCTGACATCAGCTACTGAAAATGGACTCCATCAAGTGAACATTGGTCCTTCACTGACTTGTGGGGCCAAAGACCTCTAACAAAATTATTCGTGGGACTGCTTGCCTTCTTATTGCTGGGCTACTTACTGCTCAGCATTGCAAATGCTAGGCATCATGCAGTGCATGAATTTCAAAACCTAAGTTTATTTTCTACTCACAACTTCTCACAGAACCTCTTACTACATCTCACTTGAGAAACCTTGCTTTGGAGAGTTTCCAAACACTATTTGAAACAAAGACCTGGGCAGTGTATCAAAGAATAGAAAAAAAAATCAAGGGGAAAAAATGACCAAACTAAGAAAAACTAATTCTTGAAAATCAATTTATACAAACTATCTTTGCCATCTATTTTAAATATGAATTGTTTTAGACTTATCTCTTACCAGTTATTGGTTGATAAATATGAGGGAGTATTTGTGGCATGTCCTACAAAGATTTTGTGTTTATTGTTTTGTTTTCTAGGGCTGCTCTTGAAGAAAATCCTTATTTCCGTTTGAAGAAAGTAGTGAAATGGTATTTGTCAGGATTCTATAAAAAGCCAAAGGTAACATTTATTCTTTGCTTTCTTTAGCTTTTTATGATTTTTTTATTTTTATGTGTTACTTTAAATTGTTTATTAACACTTACTAAAAAAATTGCAAAATTCATGGTTATTTAGACTTGTATTTTGATTTATGTAATACAATTTTACTTAATGAAAATTTCTTTCACTATGAAAGTTTATAAGGATGCCTTTTGGGCTAGGGATTTAGCTCAGTGGTTCCACCACCTGCTTTGCAAGCAGTTCAATCTCCAGTACCAAAAAAAAAAAAAGATGTCTTTTGATGATACAGTTAAACTTGTTTTGACTGGTATAAACCATCTTGAATTGTATTTGTATTTACAGACTTATATATATTTTTTTCTCCCTAGGGACTGAAGAAACCTTATAATCCTATACTTGGTGAGACTTTCCGTTGTTTATGGATTCATCCCAGAACAAACAGCAAAACTTTTTATATTGCTGAACAGGTATTAGAAATGCATGTTATAGAAACAAAACAGATTTTGACATTATTGGGCTATTTTTATAGACAATATTAACTCAATGAACTATTATTTGATCTTTTTTTACTAGTGAATGGTAAGCACTTAATATTTAACTACTAAATGCTACTAAATGCCCTATTCCTATTTATTACTCTTACTGTCATGGAATCCTTTGATCAAAAATAAATCTCTATTTTTTTTCCCCCTACATCTTGGTCCATTCTTCCTGGTCCATTCTTTATATTTGTTCATTTACTTTTGGCCAAGTTCATAGTGATCATACTTAAAATTATTCAGTGGTTCTCAGTTCTGAAATTAGAGTTATACCAATTTGTCTGGCATTCTAAAGTCTCTTATGCCTTTTATTTTTTATTTTTTTATTATTTATTTTTTTCTCATTGAGCTTGAGGTATACAGTTACAGTTACATTCATCATTGGGATCTTGTACCTTTACATGACAGGTCTTGGTTCTCATTCTTTCCCCTTACCCCTGCCCTCCCTTCACCCCCTCCTCCCTTCCCTATTTACAAATACTTTATTTCCATTTTTACATTTTCTCATGGTTTTTTTTCTTTTCCTTTATTTCCTTTCCCTTACCCTTCCCACTTCCCCTACACCTTTAGCCCTCTTCTTCCTATTTCATATTGTCAATTATACCATTAGGATCTTATGTACCATTATAATTTTTCACACCAGAGAATTTATTCAGTATTTATTCGTATATTTACATATGTGACTTCTTTATTTCACTTAGGAGTATATCCTCAATATGTATCCATTTTCCTATGCATGAATCTAATTTCTCATTCTTTATGGCTGAGTAGTATTCTATTTTTTAGAAAAACCACATCTTTATCCCGTCTCCAACTGATGGGCAAATGGGCTGTTTCCAAATTTTAGCTATTACAAACTATGCCGCTATAAACATAGGTGCACATATATCACTGTGATGTGATTCTTTTAATTCTTTTGGAAAGATATCCAGCAGAGGGATGGCTGGGTCAAATGAACCTCTAATTCCAGCACTTTGAGGTGTCTCCATATTGATTTCCATAGTGGTTGCACCAGTCTGCACTCCCATCAGCAATGGAGTAGGGTTGCTTTCTCCCCACAACCCTGCCAACTACAGCACTCTGAAAAAAGAGATCGAAGAGGATATAAGAAAATGGAAAGATATCCCCTGCTCCTGGGTAGGAAGAATCAACATGGTAAAAATGGCCATACTACCAAAACTGCTATACAGATTCAATGCAATGCCAATTGAAATTCCAACACTATATTTCACAGAACTAGAAAAAAGAATCCAAAAATTCATTTGGAACCAGAAAAGACCTAGAATAGCAAAAGCCATCCTAGGCAACAGACACATGGCAGCAGGTATAACAGTTCCTAATTTGAAACTATACTACAAAGCCACTGTGATAAGAACAGCATGGTACTGGCAAAGAAACAGACCTGAGGATCATTGGAATAGATTGGAAGATACAGAAACAACTCCAGATGTACTCAGCTACCTCATCTTTGACAAAGGAGCCAACTATCCTCACTGGAGGAAAGATAGCCTCTTTAATAAATGGTGTTGGAAAAGCTGGATTTCAACCTGCCAAAGATTAAAACTAGACCCTTATCTTTCACCATGCACTAAACTAAAATCCAAGTGGATTAAAGATCTAAATATTAAAAAAGACTAACTAAATTTGCTGGAAGATAAGTTAGGCAGAACTCTTAACATTGGCATAGGAAAAGACTTTCTGAACAAATCCTCAAAGAATCAACAAATGGGATCTCATTTTATTAAAAAGCTTCTGCACCTCAAAAGAAACCAACAGAACTAAAAGACAACCTACAATGTGGGAAAAAATTTTTACCAGCTGCTCCTGAGACAAAGGGCTATTATCTAGAATCTATAAAGAACTCAAAAAAATCAGCCCCCCCCCAAATATAAAGACCTGATTCAAAAATGGGCATCTGAAATGAACAGACGTTTCTCAGACAAAGAAGTAAAACCAGCAAGTAAATATGTGAACAAATGTTCCACATCACTGGTCATTCGAGAGATGCAGATGAAAACAACCCTGAGATTACACCTCACCCCAGAAAGAATGGCTGCTATCGAGAAGTCTTACGCCTTTTCTTTTTCTTTTTCCTTTCTTTTTCTTTTTTTGATTTGTGAGACAGAGCCTCGATATTTAGTTCAGACTGGCCTTGAATTCAGACTGACCTTGAACTCATTGTATAGTCTAGCTGGCTTCTAACTGATCCTCCTGCCTCAGACTCCTACGTGCCAGGATTACAGGCATGTGCAACCACGTCTGACTCTAAATGCCTTGTTAGGTACTTAGATCTCTGCATTCATAACTAGATAATCTGATTTTATACTTTCTTGCCCTCATTATTTTTAAATTTAGTTCTCTCACTCAGTATTTGTGCTCAGCTATGCTTCAATAAACCCTGAGCTGCTCATTCTTCATTTTCCAAGTAACTGCAGCTCCCAGTGATTTTTTTTTTCTCCTTCTCAAATGTCTGTGCCCTTTTTGTGATTATCCAGTAAGTCATTACCTAATACTTGTATTGTTTACCTTGTTACAGAATATTTCTCTAATTGAATTGTTATGGAAAATAACAATTGAAGTTATATTCCCTCTCCTAGCATATGAAACCTCTTTTGCTGTTATTTTTATACATATAGTAGACAATCAGAAAATATTGCTTAGTTTTTTCAACCTGTAAGTTATTTAAACTTACATACATTTATTTTCACTATTCTTTGTCTTTTACCCTGTCTGCACAAATCTGAGGAATATGCTGTTTCCTCTTAACAGCAGTGACTCCTCTTTACAGTAATTCTCTCCTTGAGTGTAAGAAAGATGAGACCGTGTGTCCTTTGACAACCTTCCTCTTCTCCCTAGAGCCTTTGATGCACCCCTCAGGAAATTATTTATTATAGTAATATTTTAAATTAATCATTATACCAGCTTACATTTTAGTTCACTGTAATTCTTCACAAAAACAATGTACATAAATTGAAAACATTGAATTATTAAAATAGCATATTTGTCAATTATTAAAATAGCATATTTTGTTTGTTTCCTTCAGCCAATTCAGTAATCCATAAGAACAGTATAGAGGAATATCTTAAGAATATTAGTTATCCACTGCCAAAACCGAGTGGTTTGAAAAACTTATTATCTCATAAGATGAGGTTGGATAATCTAAGGGAGGGAAAACAGAGAGAAGGTGAAAAGGAGAGGGGGAAGGAGGGAGAGAGCCCCGAAGACCCTCCAAGATGGAAGCTACATTATAACCTACTTGCACAAATGACCATTCTGCAAAACCAGTTTGGTTCACTGTGAGGGAGAGCTACCTTAATGTGAATACCAGGGGGTAGATTTCCATGGGAGATACGAAATGGTTACTCTAACCATCAATATTTAATTTATTACCTATCAAAAAATTTTTACTCATTATAAGACTTTAACTTTTGATAATAGCACAATAATATATTTATCTACATTTTATGTTTCTTCCTGTATTCAATAGGTGTCTCATCATCCACCAATATCTGCCTTTTATGTTAGTAACCGAAAAGATGGATTTTGCCTTAGTGGTAGTATCCTGGCCAAGTCCAAATTTTATGGTGAGTTTTCCTGTCCCAAACTTCACCCTGTCCAGAGAGTTAGTACTTTCTATGAGTTTTATTTACAAATAAAATTCATAAAAGAAATTGCTGTTTGTTTTTAGCAAAGAATTTATATGTCATTTTAAATATCTTTAATTGAATAATGACTTTGTTGCCCATTCATAAGAAGAGGTGTGGCTCATCTCATATAACTTCACCACATAGGTGTAAATTCATCACAAACATCACAAATGAAAAGATGAAATGATTGCCCTCTAGACCTTTCTAGTACATAATGGGTTTCTTTTACCTTTACCTCTGCCAAGTTGTTTTGTCGCAGTGTTACTGGGACATCGGTCTTTGTATTTTAATCTTTAAATATATAGAGAATCTACATACTAATAAGAAAACTTGGTCCAGGTTCAGTTAGCAGCAGTCTTTTTCTTGATCATTCTGTGATAAACAATTATTTTTTCCTTTCATGATGTTTGCTTTGAGTGTTGTGGTTAGAATGTCCCTCTTATTTTAGCCTATTAATTATTTATCTTCTCTTGAACTTTTCTGTTTTTATTGTTCTTTAATTTTCCTGACATTTATTTCTGCACATATTGTATGTATGAATTGATGCAGATTATAACTTTGCTTTTGTCAAAAGCCAACTAATTTTACCTTTATTTGATTAATTTACCACTGATTTTTAGTGCCATTATCTTCCACTTCAGAGGCTATCTTTTCGACCCATTAACGTGTTTTTTGTTTGTTTTTCTTTTTTTTTTTTTTTTTTTTTTTTCTTTTTTTTTTTTTTTTTTGGTATCACTACTGTATACTCTCAGCAACATTTACTTTTAAATCCTTACTTAATGGATTGTAGTGCAGATAAAATATAGGTACATACCTCTCTCTGCACTGAAAAATATGTCCTTATTTAGGAGAACTGCTCACACTTTTCAAGTGTTATTCATGGACTACCGGAATCAGAGTATTAGTTGAAATTTTAAAATTCTGAATCCTAATTTTAACTCAATAAGTCACAATCACTGTGCTCAAGAACATGCACTTTTTAGTCACCCCAGGTTATTCTAATGTACACTAAAATTTGAAATAGCTATATATACAATGTTAAATAAAAAGCAGAATACTGTACAAAAAATAAATGGAGTCAACTCTACTTTAAAACATATATATATAGGTATCTCTATGTGTGTGCTAATGTATAAGGAAAAAAGATGCAAAGAATTATGTTAAAATATGATTGATTACCCTTTGGGCCTGGGATTAATGCTCAGTGGTTCCGCCACCTGCCTCGCAAGCACAAAGACCCAAGTTTGATCCCTGGTACCAATATATATATATATACATATGTGTGTGTGTGTGTGTGTGTGTGTGTGTGTGTGTGATTACCCTAAATGATAGAATTATGAGTAATTATCTTTTTAATTTTTCAAGTTTTCCAAAAGAACAAGTACTTTTGAAATAAAGGAAAAGTTAGTTGTGTTGATATATTATAGTTATAAATAGTATATAATAAATTATTTTATATACCAATCCATATATAAGATTGGATACAAAAAAGAAACCTTTATACTTCACTGTGATGAAAATGTACGTGGACAATAGTGGCTGAATAAGGGCTTTTTATATTAATCCTCCTATTGTGGATATCCAGACGTTGGGTATTTTACATATTTAAGATTTTTTCACATGGCCTTCATAAAGTATCAAACATATATCTATAACTTTTGAAAGTACTCATTGTGTAAAAATGAGAATATGAATCAGTTACCATTTTAGATAGAAGGTAATCAATACATATTTGGGCACATTTGAATCATTGACATTGAGATATTTTAAACAAACTTTTCTGTAGATACCTGGTAGGTGTCCTAAATATGTTTTGTTTAAATGAGTTGAAATTAATTTTGTGAAATTTAATTAGACATGCTTTGTTTCAGGAAACTCATTATCTGCAATATTAGAAGGAGAAGCACGTTTAACATTTTTGAATAGAGGAGAAGATTATGTAATGACAATGCCCTATGCTCACTGTAAAGGTAATACTTTCCACACTTGAGTAGATATTTCTTAAACCTTCTTTATAAATAAATATGTGTAAGGGGCTGGGGATTTAGCTCAGTGGTTCCGGAGCCTGCCTCGCAAGCACAAGGACCAAAGTTCAATCCCCAGTACCACAAAAAAATAAAAAAATAAAATAAAATAAAATAAATATGTGTGATCGTTTTTTCCGATGCTTTGAGATTGGTGGAGTCAAACATACTTTATTTGAAGGCATCTTTTGTTCACCCATACTTAAGATTATTGATATTGGCTGAATACGTCTGTGGTGATAAATTCACATATATAATGGATATTTGTTGTATATACTTTATTTGGAAGACTGGTTTATAATAGTGGAATTACTTTGTGCTTGCCTGTGTGCAGGATTTGAAATTTGATGAAATGGTCTGTGATTTCAGCATCCTTAAAAGTGATTTTAAATGATCTTGTACCATTACCCTTTTTTAAATTTTAATTTGCTGTTTTTTAATGTACCAAGTACTTTATTTTTTTTTCTCATCCTCATTTGACAATTTCTTAAAAGTAAACAAGGGGAAAAAATGAGAACCAAGACCTGTCATGTAAAGGTAAAAGATCCCAATAATGAATGTAACTGTACTGTATACCTAAAATGTACCAATATACTCAATAAAAAAAAGTAAATGTATTATTCCCTCCCTCATTGTATAGAATACAGATAAAGATATTAAACAATAACTATATTTATAACGAAACTATATTTCAACTAACTGTTCTATGTGCTTTGTACTTATCAGCTTATTTCATCACTTCAGCAGTCCTACTAAAGTAGAAATATTACTATCTCTGTTTTATAATAAGGAAAGTAAGGGGCAAAGAGGTTAATTTGCCTGTGGTCACAGAGCTAAGAGGTGACAAAGTCAGGATATAAACTCTGTCTCTGCAATTCTAACTTTTTACTGTTTTGTATCAACTTTAACACTTGGCTTGATCACTTGAACACTTGGTTCCTCTCCAAAATATTTCTTAAAACTAACTTTCTTTCCCCCTTTTGGACAGGGTTTCCCTATGAAGTTCAGGCCGGTCTTGAACTTACTATGTACCCCAGTCCGGCCTTGAATTCACAGTGATTGATATACTCTTTCCTCAGCCTCTCCAGTGCTGGTATTACAGGCATGCACCACCACACCTGGAAAAATTCACTTTTTTGATAGCTATTTTAATAACTGATTCAACAAAACATAGAAATTCTTTAATATGCTCTCATTTCACAGTTGAGAAACCTAAAATGTTTAAGAATCTTTCTCAAGTTTAACCCAGTTAGTAAGTGACCAACTTATGGCCTCAGGCTGGATTATTCTTAAAGCTTCATTTGTAGTTCTTAAAATAAGCATGAAGTAGGACTGGGGATTTAGCTCAGTGGTTCAGCTGCCTGCCTCGCAAGCACAAGGTCGCAAGTTTGATCTCTGATACCAAAAAAAAAAGCATGAAGTATCTGAAATTGTGAATTATAAAAATAAATATTTTTAAATTTTTGTATCATTTAGCCCATGTCATACCCAACTGGCAATAGGGAAAATTTTTTCATATCAGTGTTTTTATTGCATGGGGGGAGGAGAATATAACCCTTTGTGATGAACATAGCAAATGATTATTTTTATAGGATTTTCTATGTGTGTTTTCTAAGGTGTGATTCCCAAATCACTGATCTCATAAGTTGTTTTATACAATAAAAATTTTGTGAGCAAGTAAGTATAACAAACATTTCATAGTCTGTTCCCCTCTTAGAAATTAACAACATCTGTTTGCATATTAAAGACTGCTTTAACAGCTTAATTAATAGATACACACATACACAACCTGTTTAACTTTCTTTAACTTCCCCAGTTTTTAGCCAATTTTTAGCTATTTTGCAGTTCTCTTTGTTTGTTTCATTTTATCATTGCTACTACAGAAATTTTGAGTTAGGGTCCTCTGAGCCTCTTGTCACAATATTTCCATCAACTAAATCAGTATATAACTTTGTTTTGTGTTTCTTTTAAAGACCATATTGAATTGTGACATTATATACTGTTTTTTTAGTGCTGCTGAACTAACAGCCAGTAGCACTATAACTCGTGCCTGAATAAAGCTTTAATGTATATAATTTCTCTGTAAGGTCAGCATAGCACTTCTTGTACATTAGAATAGACAGCAGTTGATTTGATCAAAATCATTAACAAAAAGCGCAGAAATGCAGAACCTACCCACTAAATATCCTGCAGAAAGAATACTTTTTTACATTGTGAGATCTGAAACTGTGGCCTAGCTCTGCTTTGGCTAGCAATGTACATATTTAGTGACTCAAAGTTTTTTGCCACCCTATGCATGTCCTTGAATGACCACAAAAGCACTATGGGTATTGATTTTTTAATTATCTATATATTTTACAGAGTAGGCGAAGTTACAGATACGGAGTCTATACATACTGTGGATCAGCTGTTATTTATTTATATCCTACAGAAAAAAAATTTGTACTATAGATTTTTATTAAATGGGATGGAATGCCCTAGAATTATGTTTCTTTTAAAGGAGGTTAGATTGTTGTTTATCATAACCCAGTACCTGTCTTTGTCTTCAAACTTTTGTGATTTTTTTTTTCTTTAGGAATTCTTTATGGCACAATGACACTGGAGCTTGGTGGCACAGTCAATATTACATGTCAAAAAACTGGATACAGTGCAATACTTGAATTTAAACTAAAGGTTAGTAAAGATGATAAGAGATATTACAGAATTTAAAAAGGGCTGTGCTGTAAATAGTAATACAGAGTACAGTTTAGTTCCTATGGTAATTATGAACTAAATGTAAGAACACAATTCATGCTAAGCCAAAAAGAAGTTTATCTGAGGGATGAGGGCAAGGCTGGGTGAATATCTTGAGATAATCTGAATATCAGCCTTAGAAGAGCCAAAGTAACACAAAGCCATCCTTTTTGTCATTAATTAATAAAATTACTAGTATTATATAGGAAATGAGATTTTTAAAGGTGATTGGATACGGACAGGGATTTAGCTCAGTGGTTCTGCCAACTGCCTCTCAAGTGCAAAGTCCTGAGTTCTATCCCAGTACCAAAAAAAAACCTAATTAGATAGAAATTGCTCTATAAATTAAATCATTGCTCTATGAAGTACTAGAAGGTACGTATCATCTTGCATTCTAGTCATGTTTACTAAGACAGAATTGTATTGATTACTGTTTCTGCATAACAAGTTAACTCACAGGCTTAAAACTAGCCATTTTGTGATCCTCATGGGATCCATAGTGCAGAAATTTGGACAGGGCAAATTGGAGTTGGCTTATCTTTGTAACTTAATGCTGGGGTCCCAGGAAGACTTCCAGAACATCGATGACTTGATAGTTGGGACTATCATTTACATGTCTGATGTCTGGTCTGGGACTGAAGGACCTACAGAGTTAACTGAGTACCTGTGTACATGGCCTTTCCATGTCACTTAAGGGTTTCCTTATATTGTGGGAGCTTCGAGGTAGTCAGACCTCGTACTTGGCAGCCTAAGGTTTCCGTGGGCAAGTGTCCAGGTAATCAAGGTGGGAGACTTCCATTACCCAGCCTCAAAAGCTAACTTACATTACTTCTGCCACTTTCATCACTTCACTAGAGGAATTACAAGCCCACCCAATTCAAAGATGAAGGGGTTGGCCCCACTTCTCAATGGAAGAGGGGCTTAGTCTCACTGAGGGAAGAACATGTTGCCTGGAGGGGAGAAGAGTAGACATTAAGGCCATCTTTAAAAAACTGCTGCGAGTAAATGGAAAATTTGATACTTTTTCATATCACTAGTAATTGTTATATGACAGTATGTTATGTTCAGATAAAAATATTCTTATGAACTTTCATACTTACTGTTTAATTGCACCCATGTTGATATCCAGCTGATGAGCATCTCTGCTCTAATAAAAAACATCTCTTATTTGATGTAATACCTTTTCTGATTTTTTTTTTTTTAACTGTAGCAAAATTTTGTTTGGATGGTGATACTGATGTTCAAAAACCATGGCAAAAGAAGTTCTTAAGCAATTTATAACATCTTTAAGTATTTGAGTATCAAAATTAGTAAGGATATATAGCAACTCAAAGAATATTCCTTTTGGTTTTTTGGAGAGACTTTTTTGGTTAAGTTCGTAAAAATAACTTTGTTGTTTTTAAAGAGGGGTGTTATTTCTTTCAAAAGATCATTCGGTTCCTTCTGTTTACTGAATCAGTATCTCAATGTATTGCCACATTGATAGGGCAGAGATGGATAGTTAGGAGAGAACAGCATCTGAGAGAACATGGACATGAGTCAGTTGTGTCACTGTAAACTCTCTTAATATATGTGGATTTCACATTTTTACCAACTAAAATTAGAAGATTTTGCAATGTGTTTCTTTTAAGAGTAACCTTTTTCTACGTTGTATGTAAGTATTTGTCAACAGTAAAGTATTCAGCTTTTTCTCCATTTCAGCCATTTCTAGGGAGTAGTGATTGTGTTAATCAAATATCAGGGAAACTTAAATTGGGAAAAGAAGTTCTAGCTACTTTGGAAGGCCATTGGGTAAGTATTTTTATATATTACCTTTATACAAAGAATCTTATTCTGTGGGAAAAAATTAACAATCACATTGTAAAAGTTAAAGCCTACTTATTCCATTGCTAAAAGCACCAATATTTAACCTAAGCTTCAGCTTAATAGCAGATATGCTGGTATTGTTCCGTTATAAACAATATTTACTTTTATATAATATTTTATCTTTCCAAAACTTGTAAGAGCCAGGCATGGTGGCATATGCCTATAATCCCAGCACTTGAGAGGCTGAGGCAGAAGGACCATCCCAAGTATGAGGACATCCTGAACTACATAGGGAGACCTGTCCCAAAAAACAAAAAACAGAAAAACTTTTAAATTTGTAGAAATGCCTAATACTTATGTGTCATTATATGTAGAATAAAGAATGTAACATTAATATTTAATATAACCCTATAAGTTAGGTACATAAATACTCATTACTGCTTGTTGTTGTACCCTTTTTTTAGAGGAGGAAACTAAGACACAGAGCATTTAAATAATTTGCTTAAAGTGATGGAGTAAGAATTCCAGCTCAAGAACTATGACTATAGGGCTGTGCTTCTATGCACAGCATTTTATTGCCTTTGGCCTACAAGAAAGCGATATAGCTCCACACAGAAATATATTTTAGAGGAATGTGAAAAGGATACAATAGTATGTCATTAGAGCAATGCCTTGGATTTACTTCTCTGCTGACCTACATTCATATGTTATATTATTAGACGATATAATCCCCTTCTAAATAAAAATAATTCTCTAATTTCATGCTTAATTTCTTTAAATATAGGATAGTGAAGTTTTTATTAATGACAAAAAGACTGATAACTCAGAGGTTTTCTGGAACCCAACACCTGACATTAAGCAATGGAGGTTAATAAGGCATACTGTAAAATTTGAAGAGCAAGATGATTTTGAATCAGAGAAGTAAGTAAACCACCATTTTTCAGCTACCTTCATGAAGATCAGGGTTTTTTAATCAGTTAATATTGTGATCACTATTATCTGTCTGCATTTACATTTTAATTCAGCAGCATAGTTTATCATTTGTACCTCAGGCATGATGGTACATGCCTGTAACCCACCTACTCAGCTGCCTAGGGCAGGAGTTGCAAGTTCAAGTTCAAGTCCAGTCTGGGCAACTCAGGGACCCTGTTACAAAATTTTTAAAAAGGAATGGGGGCTGAGAATGTAGTTCAGTGGTATAGTGTTCAATCCCCTGAACTATAAAAAGAAATAAAAAATTTATCAAGTTTATAATTTGGGGTTGTGGCAATATTGTTTGGTATGTATGAATATCAAGTACAATACAAATCATCTTATTTCTCTGCAACTGAAAACCAAACATCATATTTTTTTCCTTTCTTTTCTTCTCCAGTACTTTATTTATTTTTGTTTGCATAAAGTGATGGAACCAATTAGTTATTCTTAGTTTCTCCCTAACAATTACTTTTTAGCGTAGTATAGGCATATGGTATGGTGAAAGCAGTGTGCTTCTCTGAAGCACAAGAATAATGCCACTGGATGTGCCGGCTTTCAAAGGACTTACACTAGTTGGGCAATAATTAATGCTGTAATTTTTGTTCTTAAGTCATGAAATTCTTGCTAGATCACTTATAATTTTAAATCAAAAATATTTTATCCATTTTATATGTTTTTGTATTAGGAGAAGAGATCTTCTGTGTAGAAGAAACTGCTAGGCTGTTCACATACCTTAGTCCTCACTAGATTTTTCTACCTGTGTATTATTCTCTTTCATGAACACTCAAGCCTATGTTTACTTTCCCTTCTGTGCTCAAAACTGAGGTTATCAAAAATAGAAAATACATTGTTCTAAAAATTTAATCTTAAGTGCCAGGCATGGTGGTACACACCTATAATTCTAGCCCTCTGGGAGGCTGAGGCAGGATGGTCACAAGTTTGGGCCTGGGAAACGTAGCAAGGCTCTTTATCAATATTTTAATTATTTATTTTTTTAAAGAGTTTCACTATGTAGTTCAGGCTGGCTTTAAAGTCACTACGTTGCCCAGGCTGACCTCAAATTCATGTAATCCACATCCTAAGAGCTAGGCTTACAGGCATGCACCACTTCACCCACCACTGACCCAAAATTGAAAAAAAGAAAAAAAAAAGTGGGTTAGGAATAGAGCTCAAAGCAAAGCCCCTGGATTTGATCACCAGTACTGAAAAAAAAAAAAAAAATTCAGCCATAAACACATGATGCTGTATATGAAATCTATTTTTCCAAAACATAAACATTTTTTGAGATCTGGACATAATTCAACATCTTTTAAAGATGAGGAAATGAGACTTAGCACAATAGGAAACTTGAAGTTCACCAACTGAGAAGTGGCAGATCTAGGTTCACCCCAAGACTTACTGATTCCAGTTTCACTTTGAATGCATTGCCTTCTCAAATGGATAGAATATAGTTATTATCTTTTAACTGATGAAAAAACTAAATTGTAATAGGGGAAATTATTTTTCTCAAAGTCATTCTTATTAAAAATCTGTAGTTCCCAACACTAGCAGCACTTTAAAATAATCTAGGAAGCATTAAAAAAATTAATACTTTGTCCTGCTCCTACAGATCCCAGTTTTAAAAGTATTTGATAATCCATGTATTCAAGGCTGAGAGGCACTGCTTTGTACTAGTAGATCTTTATGAGGCCAGTAAAGATTAAACATTATGTACAAGAGTTATCTGGGGAACTTGTTAAACATACTCCTTGGAGCCCTACCTTCATTACATTCCCTCATCTTCAGTCAGCAGCATTCACCACCATGTTTAAGTGCACATGTGATAAATTTCTCTTTCCAAAAAGAAATTAGTCTTAACTTAGGAGGAAGTGTTTCTCTGTTGAAGGCACTGGATTTTAATATCTTGACTCATTCCTAAGTATATGAGCATAAGCTTAGTCAAAACCAGAAATCCACATGAGCATTATTTTCTCTCAACACAATTCAAACCAGCAGTATATAGATTTGGTTTTCTGTTACTTTGTTTTTAATACTATTTTTGCACATGTATTAGACTCTGGCAACGAGTAACTCGAGCAATAAATACCAAAGACCAAACTGAAGCTACTCAAGAGAAGTATGTTTTAGAAGAAGCTCAGAGACAAGCTGCTAGAGAACGGAAAATAAAAAATGAAGAGTGGACTTGCAAGTTATTTGAACTAGATCCACTCACAGGAGAATGGCATTACAAGTTTTCAGAGTAAGTAGCTGAGAAGAGCTTACTTCAAATAATATATTAGTATCCTTTTTTGCCTTCATTTCTGGAATATTTGTTAGTTACCATATACATTAGTGTGAAATTTTAAACCTGATATTACATTTGACTGGACTCTGTGTTAGCCTGTGAAGTAAGTTAAAGATCAGAAGATTAAATATGTGCAAATGTTAATATTAGAACTGTATTTTTTAATGAAGATCTACTCATAGCATACAAATTTTATGTTCCTCTGTCATTAAACAAACGTTCTTTGTTTGTTTATTCATTTATTTAGTACTCGACCATGGGACCCACTTAATGATATGATACAGTTTGAAAAAGATGGAGTTATCCAGACCAAAATGAAACATCGCACTCCAATGGTATGTAATAATAAAGTAACTAAGTCTCATAAGCATATAAATTTGATAGTTCTTTAATATGTATAGAAATCAATATTTAAAATATAGTTTCAAAGTTTTACCATTTTGGGTAAGCAGAATGACAGAGTAGGGAGCTTAAAACTCTTGTCACTCTAAAGAAATATCAAAAAACAAGCAAAACTATGAAAACAAAATTTATCTGAACTGGAAAATCATGAGAGGTTTGCTTTCAGTAAGTTTATATATGCTCTGCAAAATATCAGTATCATTTCTATTTCTTATAATATACCTTCTTACCTAAATATTATTTAAAATAATCAAAAGCTTATTAAAAATGCAATATCATTCAGTGGTAACATTTTAACATTGAAAACAATTTTTTTGTTTTTGTTTGTTTGTTTGTTGTTGTTGTTTTGAGACAGGATCTCACTGTAATCCAGGCAGGCCTTGAACTCACTATGTAGCTTAGGCTGGCCTCAAACTCAGGGCAATTCACCTGCCTCAGCCTCCCAAGTGCTGGGATTACAGGCGTGGCATGTGCCACTATGCCCGGTACATGATTTTAAAACACTTATTTAGGATTCTGGTGGAAAGACTATGTGGAGCAGTTATATCAGTTGACTAGACATATATTTATATTTTTATATTTGTTTCTGTAAGCTTAAAAATATCTCTAGGCAGGCATGGTGGTCCATGCCTGTAATCCCAGCACTCAGGAGGCTGAAGAAGGTGCATCACCCTAAGTTTAAGACCATTGAGCTACATAGTGAGACCCTGTCTCAACAAAACAATATATGCCTTCATTTCTGAATATTATGCCCATAAACAGTTTCAGTGTTTGTACACTAGTGGTCTTTTTCTTTTTTTCTTTTTTTTTTTTTTTTTTTTTTTTTTTTTTTGTACCAGGGATCGAACTCGGGTCCTTTCGCTTGTGAGGCAGGTGGCAGAACCATTGAGCCAAATCCCCGGCCCTAGTGGTCTTTAATTACAAGTTATAGTACAAACCCACATAATTACATGATATTTTTTTCAGGTTAGTGTCCCAAAAATGAAACATAAGCCAACCAGGCAACAGAAGAAAGTAGCAAAAGGCTATTCCTCCCCAGAACCTGATATCCAGGACTCATCTGGAAGTGAAGGTAAAAATATTTATTGCAGACTGTCCACTAAATGAAAATGGCTTTTCAGATTAACTCAAGATGATAATGTAAGAGTTTTGGCAGAGGCAGGGATAGGATTTAAAGGCAATTCTAGGTCATAGATGAGTTGTAAAAACAGGCCACAGGTAAAGGCATGGGAAAAGAAAAAGGGGAGACATGCACGTAAGAAATGCAGTATGGTAGTAGCCCTTAGGCCTTGTTAGCCTCTGAAAACTTGTTGTTGGTTGCATAGGTTGAATGCAGCAAGCATTTTTTTAGCTCAATTTTATGCTTCAAAAAAGTTTCTCATTCTTCAAGTAAATTAGTAGTGTTTAGAAATCACAGATAAGTAAAAACAAAGCTATTTAAAAGTATGAAGTATAAGATTAAATAGTGTGATATTCTTGTCCAAATTAGATAATATGTAAACTGTCTTCTATATTGAGATATACAGAAGAAAGAATTAAAACATTATTAAGATATATTTTAGATATTAATGGGAAAATAGCTTCTAATGGGGGCCGGGGATTTAGCTCAGTGGTTTGGTGGCCTGCCTTGCAAGCGCAAGGACCCAAGTTCAATCGCCGGTACCAAAAAAAAAAGAAAATAGCTTCTAATGAGTTTACATTAAGCTGAGGAGCCTGTTTTTATCTACAGAGATAACACTGGAGGTGAGTAAAGAAGAAGTACCAGAAAATTAGTTGATATGTGGTTGTTTAAGGGAGAAGGAGCCCATTTGAATTTGAGGACAGCTTCTTATAAGAGCCTTGATGAATTATTAAGATTTCTAATGATTACAGGAATCTAAACTTGGGGCATGGGATTAGGGCAAATAGTGGAAGAGTAAAGGAATAAAACAAATAAAGGCTTATAACCAGGAACTAGAGTGCTAAAAGGGAGTATTAACGATAACATTACTATTCACATTTTACAACCCCGGAAACTGATACATAGACTAACCTGTCCACATCATACACCCCATAAGACAGAGTATCCATATACATTATGTATTTGTTCCTTAGATTGTTTGGTTCCTTAACTGACCATCTTATCCACACTACTGTATTATCTATAATGTATCAGCTGGCATTTGTTGTATAACATGTTGGAAGACTACATTAAACACACTTCATAACAAGTATGGGAGGTTTTGGTATTCCTCTTTTTTAAATGAGAAAGCTGAGACTTGGAGGTTAAGTAAAATATGAACAAAAATAGAAAGGAAGGAATGAGTATGTACAGAGATTTCAAAAACCCATACAGCTTCCTGGTTGGCAGTAGAAATACACAGAAGTGGTATCAAAACTGGAGGAAGATACTGTGCCTGCCTTACAAGCGCAGGTCCTGAGTTTGATCCACGGTACCAAAAAAAAAAAAAAAAAAAAAACTGGCTGAAGAATTAAAGTTTGGGTCAGTAGGAAGTGACAATAACATTAACAAAACATTTAAAGGAGACTCAAAAAGTTGACTTCTGCAGATCTGTGCAGAGGACAGAAAAGAATAATATCTTCCCAACATTATATTAAAAAAAAAAAATAGGGATTAGGGAATTAAATTAGGGATTGAACTCGGGTCCTTGCACTTGAGGGTGGCAGAACCACTGAGCTAAATCCCCAGCCCTATTAATACATATTTTAATAAATTATTTTTGCCTTTTCTAATGAATTAAAAAAATAAAACTGATGCCATCCAAAATTTAACTAATTTATAGTGAATTTAAATGTGTTTATCATGTGCTAGTTTTTATATGATGTTTGAGATTTCGAACATGCCGAATGTTAATTTTATTATGTTAATCTCTAGGCCACAAAAACTAATGCCTGGGGGGAAAAATAATGCCTAGGAAAATTCTTATCCCAAGAATCACTAACTGTAGATTGTGTTTCTGATTGTAACTTACATTCTAAATGTTTTTTAGCTCAATCTGTAAAACCAAGTACACGAAGAAAGAAAGGTATAGAACTGGGAGACATTCAAAGTTCCATTGAATCTATAAAAGAAACACAGGAAGAAATTAAAAGGTAATATATACTGATAGTGACTAGTCACTTTGATCTAAAGGAAGTCCTACAAAAACTTTACTTTTTTGCTAATTTCCTAAGTTATCCTGGTTAGGCTTGAATTTGTAATTCTCCTGCCTCCACCTCAGAGTCCTGGAATTAGAGACATGTTCTACCATGTCTGACAAAATTTTATATTTTTATAACATTGCTAGTATAAAATAGAACCTTGGCTTGTACCACTTGATGTCTGAAAATTATGAAATTCCTCAAGCACAATACTAAGTGAAATGGGAGCATGCTAGGGATGCAGCTGCATTGAGTGTAAAGGTGGGATTGTTTCTGAGAAAGTTGACAGACTTGCTTCTTCATTCTCCTTTGTACATGGCTAATACTCAGCTGAAATGTACCAGTAGTTAAAATATTGAAATACTGCCCTGAGACCTTTGTGTGCTCCTCTTAAGAGTCCCTGACACTCCCTTACGCACCACTCAGTAGTACAGTAACTAAATGTTGTTAATACTGAGGTTTCTTGGAAGAGGAGTCCTAATCCTATTCTGTGGGTGAAGATTGGTTACCATCCATGCTGTATGAGTTTTTAAAATGTTTAAATTAGCCCATCTCTTACATTCAGCACTCGGTACTAGCGTAATTCTGTACATTCTGGATTTTTTTTTAATTTTTCTGTTCTTAAACACTTTGTTTTAGTTCAGTTACTATTTTCATCTGCAGGCTTATCTCCTGCTATCCCTCTGTACCTATTCAATGCTATCATTCCATGAAATTTTGTGCATCTCCCAGAATATGCTGTGCTGTCTTGTCTTTGATCTTTGCCCCTTCCAAATCCACTTTTTAAGACTGACATTTCTTACTGCCTTACCCGTCAAGAAAATCTCTATGACCTTCAGAAGTAAATTCAAATGATACAGTTTTGGGTAACATTTCTAAACACTCACCCTGCCCTGTATAATTACTTAGTCCCTCAATTCCACTTTCACCTTCCTGTACATACTTCCTACACTCCAGAGTTGTCTGTCTACCCTATTATGTCTGTCTACCCTATTATGCTGCCAGCCCTTTTAGAGCATGGAGCACGTCTTAAGTATCTTCAGTGTCATCAGTCTTTTATAGTGTTTACATTTCCTAATTTATTCATAAATTCATTAACTTATTTGCCCCCCTGACATTACTGGGGATAGAACCCAGATCCTTCACATTGAACTACATTCCTAGCCCATTTTTATTTTTTATTTTGAGATAAGTTCTCACTGAATAGCAAAATTTTTTTCTGGCTATTTTCTTTTACTCTCACCCCATCTCCCCAAAGTAAAAAATAAAAGAACTTTGGTGAGCCAACTGAGGAGCAAAATTTTTGTCTTAAAACCACTGTTGTAACAGAGAAGATGTTATGTTTCTGTATCATCAGTTTTGAAACTGGGCTGGGGATTTAGCTCAGTGGCACCACACCCACCTTGCAAGCACAGGGTCCTGAGTTTGATTCCCAGTACAGAAAAAAATATATTTTTACAACTGTGTTTGATGCATATATTTATGTGTGCTACAATTTGGAATTCAGATCCAGACAAAGCCTGCCAGTGGCATAATCAGGTCCTTGGTTGTATAGTAATTGATTGAACTAGTTACTTTAGATAATGTAATTAAATGCTTTGTGACTGTATTGAACTGTGAGTTTTGTACTAAGATTTCTGGAAAATCATTATAAAATTTATTGTTGCTTATTTTTATAGGAATATTATGGCTCTTCGAAATCATTTAGTTTCGAGCACACCTGCAGCAGATTATTTTCTGCAGCAAAAAGACTACTTCATCATTTTCCTCCTGATTTTACTTCAAGTCACAATAAACTTCATGTTTAAGTAGGAGTTCTCCACATTTGAGTCAATGAAACATCAGATTTGGCCTGGGACCAATGTTCAAGTCTGTTTGGTCTTATTAAAATATCACAATATTTCTAAAATGAAAAATTAAGAGGTAAATGTAGTGGTGTCTACCTTTCATATATTTTACCTTTAACCTGAAACAAGAGCTATCCAATTTGGTTAAAAAAGTGAGCTATGTGTTAAGTGCCAGGATATTTCTAGCTTTTGTGACAATGTGTCTACATGTGAGTATAATAAATCCACATGTATACACAGCATCTCTAACATACTCTTACCTGACTGATAGTAGTCTTTGTATTCTGTAGTATGTTTTAAGATAAAATGTTAGCATTGTTCATAACAAAAATGCTATCTTATAAATATATGTATAGTAATCTACTTTCTTTGTAGAACAGGCATGAAATTTTATGAAGGAATTACAGACCGGGGAATAATGGAATAATGGACATGTTACAAATAATTTGATACACTGTACTGTTAAAATCATTTCCAAATTACCTAGTTCAATTGTCTTAGAAACAGCAAAAAAAAAAGTACAAATGGTCAAAATTAATATACTGAAAGAGGTGGCAAATTTTTTAGAAGTTTACTTAAGATTTTTTAAACCGCTATAATTTAATATTTGTAGAAACAGGTATATATGTACTTATGTGTATATCAATATGTAAAACTGGTATGCAGTACTTGGAATTATTAATTATAATACCACCTTAAGCGCTTGTTGAAAAGTATGGTCAAAATTGATTTGCTGTTTTTTCTCACATTAAATCAGCATAGGCCAAATTCTAGACATGTTTATAGGAATATGAAATACTGATATTTAATGTTTTTTTCTTTATAAAAAACATTTATATACCATTTGGACCTTAGTGTGTTCAACAAATAAGTAGAATAGAAAATGTAATAATCAATATTTTATTTCTAAAGCCAAAAGGAAAATGGCAATAAAAAGACACTGGGTGATGACCTTTATGTAGACAATAAAATTGCTTCCCTTAAACTGTGCAGTAGGTTGAGCTTCTAGGAGTATCAAGTTTTAAAGTTTGTTTATTACCCCCTTCTGTTCTTAGAACTTCATTCTGTTGTAAAACCACAGTTCTTTAAGATTCCTTTGTTCAGGCCCAGGCAAAATTTTTTCTTACTTTTTTTTTCATATGAATACTTATAATTTCTAAAGACAGATTCTGGAAACATTAAGTTTGGAAATACGTTGTCATAAAGTGTATCTTTGCATCTTGGAGGTAGGAGTTTGAAATGATTTTTAAAATGAATAATTGCGCTAGCTACATCTGCCATCTTACAGAACAGACTATGAGACAGTAGTAAAATTTTAAGTCAGTTCTACGTGCCACATAAATATAAAATCAAGGGATAATTCCTAAATTGTGAAAATTGAAAACAACAAAATCTGATCTTTTTTCCTAATATGACTATCTTTAGTACCTTTTAGGATTGTAATAAGAACTGTTTCCCATGTAATGTTAGTGAAACAATGCTATATTCCATGTGTACAAATGAAAATAATTTTAAATCGATAACAGCATAAGATATAACTGTATCCAATATTTTCATGACTATCTTAGAACAGGTGGGTTGTTTGGGTTATATTTCATATTTTTCCGTATATTTTTTGTATTCATATTCTATTATACCAATATTATACTTAACTGCTTATTCAATGGCATATTTTGTAAATATTGTATACTTTAATTTTTATGGTTTAAATTAGTATTGTTATATATAACTTGATTGGCTGATCACAAGTCATTTCACCTCCAAACCCTGAAAACTTAGTTTTTCTAGGTTACTTGCCTTAGAGTTTTAAGTCTTATCCACTTGTATGCTATTTTCATTTGGTCTGAATAGTGTTTCATTTGTATAGATATCTTCTAAGGCTGGAAAGGTAATATTTCCTTTATTTTTTATCTTTCTTTGTAGGGCACATGTTACGGGTTTTTAGCCAGAAGTCAAAAAATAAAGAGCAAGGTTATTTATGACTGTTTCTTCTATACTGAAAGCATATATCTAATCTAATAATACTTGTATGCTTTTAGTTATATAAGTTCCTCTGAACTGAACATAAAACTCAGGAATTGGTGGCTTCACTTTAGATCAATGCTTGTACTGATTTCTGTATGTGGATCTAAAACACATAACTTTGTATTCAGCCATAAGTTTTTTACTTTGAATGTTTCTTACCTGAGATTAATCTTCCTTCACACATGGATTGATAATGTGATTTACAGTTCCCAACTATCCCAGAGTCTCATGATGGTTTCTAGAATTTATGACCTTATCCAAAAAATTCTCACATGAAAATTTAGATGAGTAATAATTATTGACACATGCATTTTTGTTTTATTGTTAAATGTATTATATCTTTGGTTAGTCACCATTTAGTGAGATGTTGCTGGCTAAGAAAAGACAATAGGGCCTGTAAAATATTAAGTTACAGCAGTAGATATTTTCTTGTATTTCATATCAGTACTTTTTTGTATCACTTATAAAGGTACAGTGTAATCTTTGTCACAGTTCAGTTGACAACTGCATTCCATTGAAAAGTTGGCCTTGTAAAATACAGCCTTCATTTCATATTCATGCTTTTGTGCCTTTAAGAAAATTTTTTTTGTCATTTTTGTGTTACAGAACTATAATATGATTCAAAGTCTTTATAGGCTTACTTGCCATAAAAGGGTCGTTTCTCTTTGTCACTTTATTTCCTTTTATATAGGTGAAGTATATTTAAACAGTAATGCTGTACTTTTATAAGGGTTTGTCTGTTTACCTATTTCAAATATATTCTTACTCTCTAAGACATTAAAGTAGACATGTCAGATTATTTTGAGTATTGTAAACAGTGCCTTTTTGATGGAATTCACACTGCTCTGGGTGTCAACTTGTGCCATATACACAAAACTTTGTAGAAGGCAGTTTTAACTTTTTGAAGAATATCTTCAACATTTAAGAAAACAAATGTATGAAATTCCATTTTGTCCATTGTTTAGCATTTCTAATGAGCAATTAATAGTTTTTTGACATACAGTGATGATGGCATTATTGATGAGCCATACATGAGACTGAAGATTACTTTGAATTATGTTAAATGTACAGAAATAAAATATTAACATTTATAGAAAATTTTGTGATCTGCACCAATGGGGGAACCCCACAGAAATTAGTAAGTTTACATTTCAACTTCTAAAGTGTCAAAAAAAAAGGTTCTTTAAAATGTATAACCTGCTACTATTATGTAATTTGGTTTTGTTTTGTTGTACCTATCATGTGAGTTCAGTATATTTAATTTACATTTTCTTACTCTTCACATACTATTTTTGTTACACTTTTTAACTGAGGGTGGACTGTTAAAATTGTACAAGACCAGTGTCTTAATAAGATTAATATATTTTGAGCCACAAGAAACCCATGACAAAATGAATGTGAATATATTTTCTAAAGCATTTAGAAAAATTTGTTTTTCTGCATGTATCACATAATATTATTTTAGTATTACAATATTGAAATTTTTCATTTAAAAGAAAAATGCCATGAAGCATTTGAACTGATGAGCCACAGAACTTCATTTGAAATTTTTTCACTTTTTAGCATGCTAAATATACATTTATGTTTAAATATCCTATTTAGTGGCCAACTTTAAATTCAAGCACTACCACTGGTCAGTTTTGTATGATAAACTAAAATTATGTTATCTACAGTGTAAGTATAGCACACTGTCAAATTCTTTTCCTTGAGGTGCATAGTAAATGTACAGATAATCATAGGCTACTGTTTTGTAATGTATTACATTTCTAATCTGTTATTCCTTTCCTGTTATGTTTGCAGAGAGAAAAGAATTGAATTTTTCTAATGATCTGTAAAATTATGCTAACTTCCACAAGTAGGAATTCTAAATAAAATTTTTAAAAACAGCAAACTGTGATCAAATGACTTAACAGGGTAAATAAATTTATCTTTATTGTTTTTCCTTCTTTGTTGGAAAAATTGCAAAGCATGTGAAACTTTGGGATTTAATAGAATCCCTTATATAAGGTTTATGAGGTATGCTCAGACAATCCTGTGACCATTTAAATTTTTTAAATTTATTACAGTAAGACACATTACCATTAATCCCTCTCCAAATAGTCTCCCTTGCTTCAAACACTTATTCTTGCCACTTTCTCAACCAGCTCTGAAAGTCTTTTTCTGAGTGTCTTTAGTTGTGCTATCATAACTGCCTCAGTGTCCTGAATCAATTTAACATGTTTACCTTCAATGGTCATCTTGACTTTGAAGGAATGCCATAAATTACACAGTGCCAGATATGGTGAATAAGGTGGATGAGAACATACTGTAATATTTTTGACAGAAATTTCCATAAGCAGTTAATCAGAGAGGAGTGATCAAAAAATATGGTTGATGCTTAAAGTTTTAAATTACAGTAAAAAAGTATTATCATTAATCCTCAAAAATTTCCCTCTTGTTTCGAACACACTTATTATTCCTAGCAATGTATCTTTTATTGTAATTTTTAAAAATGTATTGTTTTCATTTTGATTTGGTACTTGGGATCAAACTCAGAACCTTGCACTTACTTGCAAGGCAGGCGGTAGAACCACTGAGCTAAATCCCCAGCCGTATTCACTGGTACTTCATGCTTTATATTCATTCTTCTTGAATCTTCCTAATATTTTTAAGTTGAAGTTAACCAGATTTTGTAAATGAAGTACCTGAGACTCAAAGAAGTCAAATGACTCCAAAATTACCCAGTATGGGCAGTAGCACACTCTTAGAAGAGTAAAAACTCAAGTTTGAATCTATGCCTGTCTGCACGGTACACTTTAATAGATCCCTGATTGTGATACTTACAGTTGTCTGGAATATAAGTGCATGGATCTATACTGAAGAAATATAACCTTGTGATGAATAGAGCCAGAAAGAAAGAAACCCCTGCAACCAAGGATCAAACTCAGGTCCTTGCACTTGCCAGGCAGGCACAGAGCCACTGAGCCAAATCTCCAGTCCCTGATGAACCTTATTATTAAGCAAATCCCATATACTAAACCTATATTAAAGTTGTTTTCAAGTCACCTAGTAGTCCATTGTGAGTCAACATTAGATGAATTCCTCGAAGTCATTCCAGTGGTTTTACTCCCTTCTCATTCTTACTCTTCCCTCAAAGTCCCATTACTACTTGCTGTCATTGACTTTAGCTTATTAATCGGGGGAGAGGGGCAAAGGAGGGAAGAGTACGCAGTTTTCTCCTATCCTCTGCATAGGAATAGAGTAAAGAAAACAGCCCCTTGGTTTTCAACCTCAGTGAAACATTTCCATTTTTCTTCTAATTTTTTTTCACGCTAATGGATTTTTTTTTTTTTTTACTCTCAGTGTTATGTGTTGTGCCATTATGCTAATTGGGTTTTCTGTGTCTTACATACTAGCCCTTTATAGCGGGGATAATTGGCCAAGAGAGTGGTGATCTGCCACAGGAACTTGGAGGGTATTTTACAAATATTTGACTGTTGTACTTATTCTATGCTAGAAAGTTTTCAAAGTACTTTGTGAACATTCTCTACCTCCTCAAAACTTCATGAAATTTTTCTTTTAAATATTATCTCCCATTTTTAAGATGAGAAAAGCAGGGAACAAGATTAGTCGCTGAATGTCACGAATGACTGTCAGAGCAAACCCACATCTGAATCCAAAGCCTTTACTTTCCTTAAATCAGCACCCCACCTGTCTATACTATACGTTCGACTTTTGGGTTGTATCAAAATGTAGGCCAATATGTGTTAAAGCGTAGTACTTAGTGATCTATGTGACTAATAGATTTGAGTCTTCACATCTATCATTTGGCTAAAGAAAAAGTAGCTAAATTGCTGTGGCTGGGATTCCATGTGATAACCTGAGCACAGAGGATGTGGCAAACTCCCTCCCTAAGATATTAAGTCTGAAACTCAGCCCTGGCCCGGCCTTCCCCATTTGCTCTCAGCTTACGCTGATTTCATCAAATCAACTGCCGGTGTGGACAGAGTATGCGCGAAACCATGGCAAAAGTCCTTGGCGCTAAACAAGTAGCTTCTGACGAGGGCTGCCCACGGACCAATCACTTCCTTCACACAAGCCCCTGTGGTGCGGGCAGAAGGTTCCGGGAGACGAGGATTCAGAGACAGTTGAAGGTCCTGGACGAAATGAATTCACCAGAGAGCCGGAGAAGGATTTAGGGTTCCACCCCAGGGTCAGATCTTCTATTTTCTTCGTTGCCTGGCCTGCCCAACCCAACTTGCAAAGTACAGTAGAATGCTCTTCTACCAAACGAGATGAAGAGCAGTAGCATATCACAGCAAGGAAGCGGAACTCACGCGGCTTCCGGGTTTCGCTCTGGCTTTCGGTTTCCTCCCCGCCTTTTCCGTTTCCGGCCGCGCGCCCTTTCCCCCGCTTTCCTTGTTAGAGCCGTTGCGGCTGCAGTCTAGCGGAGGCTGTTCGTACCCGGAGTTCTATGGCTGTCTCGGGATCTGTGAAGACTGCACTGCAGGTGGCCGAAGTTCTGGAGGCAATTGTGAGCCGCTGCGTGGGGCCCGAAGGGCGGCAAGTTTTGTGTACGAAGCCCACCGGCGAGGTGCTGCTCAGCCGTGATGGAGGCCGCCTCCTGGAGGCGCTACACTTAGACCATCCAATAGCGAGGTACCTGAATCCTAAACTGTACCCCCGCGCGGCCACCCAGTACACATCCCTACAGTCTCCCTGAATTTCTTGTCCCTTCTCGAGGCGCTGTACATGGAAAAACGACCTCTAGTGAAACCAGAATATACTGAGGGTTAGAGTGCTACCCAAGGAATATTCGTGAATTCCAAAATCTTAGGGACACCCAAAAACACTTCTTACTCCTCTCCTCCCTAGAATCTTAGTCTAGAACAAAATAAATTGGAAAACTAAGACTATATCAGAAGGACAACATTCTTTCCTTATATCTGTATCTGGATAGTTAGGTGATTCCATGTAGGAGGCCAAACTTCTAAACTTTGACATGTTTTATTTCTGTCTCTGTCTCTTGGTGCAGGATAATAGTGGCGTGTGTTTCCAGTCATCTCAAAAAAACAGGAGATGGTGCTAAAACCTTTATTATCTTTCTTTGCCACTTACTCAGAGGACTTCATTCAATCACAGAAAAAGAAAAAGCTTTGATTTTGGAAAATACTCAAACCTTTGAAAGACGTTGGAAAAATTGTTGTCAGTGGAAATGTATTTCCCAAGCTCTATTAACGTTTCAGACACAAATACTAGACTGTATTATGGATCAGTACTTAAGCAGACACTTTTTATCCATCTTTTCTGCATCTGCTAAAGAAAGAACATTGTGTAGGAGCGCCTTAGAGTTACTCTTAGAAGCATACTTTTGTGGAAGAGTGGGAAGAAATAATCACAAATTTATTTCACAATTGATGTGTGACTACTTTTTCAAGTGTATGACTTCTAAAAGTGGGATGGAAGTATTTGAGTTAGTGGATGACTGTTTTTTAGAGTTGAATATCAATGTCACTGGCCTTCCTGTGTCAGAGTCTAGGATCGTAGATGGTCTTCTGCTTCACAGAGATTTTTCGGTTTACTGTCCAGCAGATGGTGACATAAGAGTGGCAATAGTAAGAGAAATCATTCAGCCTGTTTTTTCAACTTCTAGATCAGAGTTTGTTGTAAATTCAGAAGCACAGTTTCAGGCATCTCAGATTTGGATTATGGAAAGGACAAAATCAGTAATGAAACATTTACTTAATCAGAATGTAAAATTGCTCCTATCTAGTGTGAAACAACCAGATTTAGTTATGTATTATGCAAGACTGAATGGCATATCAGTGGTGGACTGTTTATCATCAGAGGAAGTTTCTGTTATCCAAAGGATTATTGGTTTTACCCCATTAGTACTTCCACAGGCATCTTTACAGTGTGAAATTTCTGACACTGCTTTGGTAAAATTTTGTAAACCTTTTATCCTTAGATGCAAAAGATATGTTCATCTTGGTCTAATTAGCACATGTACATTTATACCACACTGTATAATTCTTTGTGGACCAGTGCAGGGTCTTGTTGAACAACATGAAAATGCTTTATATGGAGCATTTAAAATGCTTCGGCAGTTATTTAAAGACTTTGATCTAAATTATGTTAAAAAAGACAATAACCAAAATGACACATTAAGTCCTCCAATTTATAAAAATTGTGGAAAAAGTAATCAGTTACCCAAAAGTTATACTCAGTCTATACAAAGGCCTTATCAAGACACAGGTATAAAGAGCAATGATGAATTGGAAGAAACTCAGTATTTAAAAGTACACTCAAATTTGGTGGTTTCAAATGTTGAATTAGAAACATATACTCCATGTTCACCACCAAAAGTGACACCAACAGATGCAGTCCACACAGATGAAACATGGAGGTGTTTGCCTCTTGAAAATGACAGGGTAATTGATGACTATGAACTATTAATTGAGAGTAATTCCATTAGTAATTCTATCATAGACAACACTAGAATAGAAATTTCTTATGAAAATTTCCAGATCATAGATACCGCTAAAAAGGGGAGCATGTTACCAGTGAAATACAGATCACTAGATATGTGTACTTCACAGAGTTTCTGTTCATCATCTATACCAGCAGGTTGTGTTTTACCTGTGGGTGGGAGTTTTGAGATCTTACTACATTATTATCTTCTCAACTATGCCAAAAAATGTCAACAATTAGAAGAAATCATTAGTAAGTTAATAGCCGATGCACTTTTAGGCATTCCCAAAATCCTTTATAAATCTAAGAAAGGCAATCACAGCTTTCCACAAATATATTTGAGAGCTCTCCACACACTGCAAACAAATCAACCCATGGTAAGGAGTCAGACAGGTTTGGAATCAGTAACTGGTAAATACCATTTACTAACTTCAGTTCTTCAATGTTTAACAAAAATATTAACCATTGATTTGGTAATTAATATTAAGAGACATCCTCAAAAAAATTCTGATCAGGATTCTGATGATGAACTTCAACATTAGAAGTTTTTTTGTTAACCAATCTTTTAATCCAACTTGAACCATAAAGTAAAGCAGGCATCTGACTATTTGTTCTCAAGTCATTTCAGTCTGGTCTGGAAAACAGCATGTAACTTCAAATGTCTTTAAAAGTATGCTAAGGCTACCAGATCATTCAGATGCAAATAAAAGTCTACTTTATAGAACCAAACTAAAGGGGAAAACAAGATCTAGCGAAATATGTCTCTTTCTCCTTATGTCTTTGTGTGTCTCACCTCTGTGTTAGTCTGTATTTAAAGGAGGGTGTTTTAATAATTGCTTTTCACTTTTAATTTTGGATGGGATCTTCAAATGACATCTTGATTGGTTTATCAATAATTCAATATATAAACATTTGCTTCATTTAAAATATTTGCCTACTTCTATAACTTGTAAAGTAGTGAAGTCTCATTTTTTCTTTTAAAAAGCATATAAATTAAACTAGTTCTTACTTTCATGTGCCACTGTTTCACTTCTATCCCACTGGAAAAGGCTTGAATTTTCATAATTCATACATCACTGAATATATGATAATGAAAAATAGGATTGTGCATTGTGAATTCTTTTTTATTTCTGTAATTAAAAGTTAATTCCAGGGCTGGGAATTTAGCTCAGTGTCGCAGCCATCTTCCTTGCAAGCACAAGGTCCTGAGTTCGATCTCTGGTACAAAAAACAAAAATGTTAATTCCAGAATATGAAATTCATTCTTTTTATTTTCTCTGAGAACCTAAAAATCTTGTAAAGACAGTTCATGTACTTATTATTTTTTCTTGTATTTGGTACATATCTAGAATTCAGTAGTGACAAATAATTTCTCATTTGAATTTACAGTTGTTTGTATTTTATTTTAAAAGCTTATAAAAGCAAATAATACTGTGCATCTGGCCATGGATAAGAACAGTGTACTTTATTTGTACTAGTTCTCCGCAACACCCAAAACAGTGCTTTGTCTGTTCCAAGTATTCAAAAGTGCTTGTGAAATAAAAGTGTTATCTTTGCTCTGTTTCCCTAAATGCTTTACTTTTTAAAAAAGTTCCTACTATTTACTCTGTGCCTGATATTTTGGTAGATACTGAGCATATATCTTCATTAGCCTTTGCTCAAAGGTTAATGGGTAGATATGTGCAATACTTAGGTTAGGATTGATTTAGCAAAACCAAAGAAAAAAAACTATGATTGGGTAAATAGTGTCAAATAATATATTAAAAAACCGTAGCATCGTGTGCAATATCTCATTACCTTTTATACTATGCATAGTTCTGACTTTTTATTCTGACTTTTTTTTTTTTTTTTTGAGACAGGTTCTCACTATGTAGTTGAGACTGATCTGGAACTCACTGTGTAGCCCAGTCTGGTCTCAGTGATCCTCCTGCCTCAGCCTCCCGAGTGCTGGGATTACGGGTGTGAGCCACCACGCCCGGCTGAGTTCTGATTTTTAAAAGTGTATGTTACAGGATGCATTATTTCAGTGAATGTGAAGAGAATAATACAGCTCTTTTATGGAATTCTTACATGAATGAATCTGCATTAAAATTGCTCAGTCATTTTTTCTATTTATTTTCAATAGCCTGTCAGGTCATTTTGCTTTGTTTTGATATTGTTGAAGGTATTTGAAGACTTTTCATGCCAGGCATAGTGGCGCATGCCTGTAATCCCTGCTTTTGGGAGGCTGAGGCAGGAGGATCACTTTGAGTTTGAGACCAGCCTGGGCTACATAGTAAGTTCCAGGTCAGTCTCAACTACATAGTGAGACCCTGTCTCAAAAAATAAAAAACAAAAAAGACTTTTCTAAATATGCCCAGTGTTGTTCATATGTGGTAGCCATTTAATGTCAGTAGTTCAGAAAACTTTGTAAGCTCTCTTTGTATTATTGGCATCTTGGGTGGTATTTTGCATTCTAAATATCCAGTAAACATCTATTAAGGACCTATTTGTTGTATCAGTTAATCCTTGGGCCCTCATAGATTAAGTTATATCTTAAACTTTTATAAGCAGACTGTTAGGGGAGAAGGAGCAGAAAATATAGACCAGATCTACATAAAGTAATTTGTTTTCTTTTAATTAAAAAAACCTCGATGTGATAAAGCTTTTATGAGTTATCTTTATAAAATAACACTGGGGAGTTCACATTACTGGGCTAGTTAAGAGAGAACTTTTGAAAATGTAATTATATTAAATTGATATTCTGTACCACAAAATATTTGAGGGTGACCTGCAGTAGGAACAAGTAAATTTATGGTAAAACCTGAATTAAAATTAAAGAATCAGAACCAAAGAAAAAAGTGAAGAGAATTTAAATTTAAGATCATTTTTTCTGTTTATTACTGCTGCATATAAAATAACCCACAAACTTAATATATTTGAATCATTACCTAAGACTAAGCTTCCCTGGACAACTTCCATTGTATTTGCTTGGCCAAGCGATGGCAAATGTTTAAGGGAAGAGAATGTAGGCCTCACATTTAATGGGAAGAGTGTCAGTGTCACATTATTAAAAGAGTGTGTGGAATGGGGATATATTGAGGTAGCTATCTTTGGAAAATACAATCTGCTCCACCATGGAATGGATAAAGAAGTAAAATACGTGTTAAATTCTCAACAGAGTTTCTATTAATTGTTTTTTGAAGTTACATACCTCCCATTATCACATTTTGTCCAGTAACATTTATTTTTTCTCATTAAGTCAGCATTAGCCACTTTTATGTTCAAAACAATAGGCATTAAATAATTGAACTTTCTTGGCATGGTGGTGCATACCTATAATCCCACCACTCTAGGAGGCTGAGGCACGAGCATAGCAAGTTTGAGCCCAGCATGGGCAATTGAGCAAGACCCTGTCTCAAAATAAATCGAAAAAGAGCTGGAGATGTAACCTAGTATGAAGGCCCTAAGTTCAGATTCAATCCCCAGTACCACCAGAAAATATAGATCTAGATATGTATCTTTGAACTGCTTCAGCCAGTGGAGCTATTTAATCATATTCAGGAAAACTCATGGTGTCTGCGTTTTAGACTAAAAGAGAAAAGAGAGGGATGCAGTAGAAGCCTGAAACAATTGTTCATGTCCTTGCAAAAGGAGTAGACTAGACCATTAATCTCCATGTTTTGGATGCTCTTTGTTTCAGCAGTTCTATCTTTATCTCAACACAGACAACAAAATCTCTTATGTGGCCACATGACTAATGTTTAAACTCTTGTTATAAAAGCTTTATAAATAACAAGTTAAAATCAAATAAGTCATAAAATAGCCCTGTGTAATCATTTAGTTTTATACTTCATTAACTTTTTGCCATATTTATTTCTCCCAAAGATTTTTATAAAAGAAGAGACATGTTTTATTTTCAATTTATCTTTTGTAATTTTGTTGTTGTGAAACTTGATTATTTCAAACTTCAGTGAAGCTTTTGCTGCACACATACTTGCATTGGTGAGGAAATCTGAGGAACATAGTGTTTTTTCCCTTGTAAGTTAACAAAGGATGAACAAAGGAGAAGAACCATGTGAAGTGGAATGTGAAGTGGATTAAGAGTTTATTGGGAGCAGGAAATCTAAGCAAGGAGTGACCACAGAAATGTAAGCACTTTGGAGTTTGCAGAAGTCTTAGGAAAGGCACTGAACTCTCCATAGGAGCTAAGATAAGGTCCTGAGCCATTTTTATTTAAACATTAACTGTATAAACTGCATAAGAGTAGAGAGTTTAGGAAAACCAAGATAATAGCATGTGCTTAGTATTTACAGAAATGATGAAATACATGAAAAAATGAACCTACTACTGTACCCTTGGGTACAGTACAAACTTTGGTAAACCCCCAAATGGCCATCCCAGACCAGGCAGTTAAATGAGCACAACTGTTTGACTCCTACTCTACAGATCCTCCAAATAGAATTTGCTTTTATTAAACCTTCATTTGAGCCTTGCAGTTACTGGCCCTCACTTTCTTTACTGTGCCTTTTTCATAGCCGAGTGGAAAAGCTATTCAAGTAGCTGTTCCATTTGCTGTGTGAGGTGTTCAACTCACCTACTTGCTATTTTGCTTATTTGACCATTTTTTTCCAAGGAATAGTGAAATCCACTGTGAGCTCTGAGACACAATACCACCAGTCCATAAGTTTGTTTTTTTTGTTTTGGGTTTTTTTTAATCCTTGAACAATGGTTGCATTGTGCATCAACTTCCTGATGCAAAAAGTCAGGGTAGAGTGTCCAAATGTAAGGTGTCCAAGGGGCAAGTGAAGCCAGATAATAGGTAATAATTTTAAGATTTTTTCCCCTTAATTTTCAGCCTTTCCTAATTGGAACTACAAATTCATTTTCAAGTGTTCTATTTTGCCTGATTTATTAATCTAAATCTGTCCACTCTCCTTCCTGGTTTTTGAGATGGCTTTCCATGCTTAATGGCTTTACCATGCATGTCAAGATGGGGCTTGGATTTTTCCACTGTGTATAGCAGACCTATCATGATCATGAACTGAGTTGGAGGACTCTTTGAAAATAAAAATATATTTTTATTTTACAGCAATTTGTATCATATTTAGCAGGCAATTTCTCAAATGCAATTCAAATCTTATGGCTGTATAAGCTAGTCTGTAGATCCTCTGTAGGGGATCAAAATGTATGGAATGAATTCTTAGTAAAATATCTGAAGAAAGGACCCTGCAGGGGTTATATGATTCAACAGGGGTCTGTATCTTTCATTGTCCTTGACTAACTTGCAGGTTGATAGAAATTGAAGTTAAATTATGGAAGGCTGATGATAATACATATAATTCCACTCTTAGAAATGCAGTTTGAATTTTTTCTAATGAAAATGTATCAATTTCTCCTGTAACAAGAGGCTAGTTTTGCATCTGTCAGCAAAATCAGGCCAAGCGTGGTGACACACCCTTGTGATCCCAGCATTTGGGAAGCTGAGGCAGGAAGATTGCTGCAGCTTTGAGGTCAATCTGGGCTATATAGTAAGTTCAATACCTGCCTGAAGTACACAACAAGACCTTGTCTAAAAAAAAAAAATCAGTCTTGCTGATTGCCTGCATTATGTGCTTTTCTTCTGAATTCTTTTGAACCAATACTTTACTGGTTTCCCTATTATATAATAGTACAAAAATTTTTGACATTTCATTTTACAGTTGTATAATTTTATGCATTTTACTTACCCTTTAGCACCATGAGTCTCCAGCAACTTAGTCCATCTCCATAAGTGAGGTGGCACTGAGTAAGAGGAGAACCCTGAGTTTCTGATATTTGTCTAAAAGAGACTGAGTTGACAGAGCCACTTGAATGGGCAAGGTGATATTTGCCCTCATTCCTGAACAGTTTCTAGATTCAAGTTTATTAACGCATAAAGTTGTGAAAACATGTTTGCACAGTCAAATGTGAAGATTGATGTATTTGTGTGTGTGTGTGTCCTATATTTTTAGCTAGTTCACGTATGTAACCAAAAAATAGGATGAACAGATGTTGTGCTGGCCTTCAGGAAACAGCATGGAAAATTAACACTGTTAACTCCATCTCTCCCTATGCCCCTACTCGTCTCTGTCTTAACTATTTAAGACTTATCTGTTTCCTTATCACTTTCATTCTCCCAGTCTGGCATCTCCACAGTTTGTAGATTTGCTCCTAGT